TTTTTCCTACCCTCCATAAACTTCTTAAACCACTCGAAAACTTGCGTGCGAGATAGACACTGATCACCATATACTTCTGTCAACAAATTGTAAGTTTCAGTGGCAGATTTTCCAAGTTTTGTGAGGAATTTGATGTTAGCACGTTGTTCTGCATTAGCACTCAGCATTATTCCGACGGAGCTCAGAAACACGATCCGCTTCTAACAATGGTCGCGGCCAGACTAACCGATGCACGTGAATGAAACTTTGTGTGACGGTAGAGGGAAGTCCAAGGGTCAATGCCCTACCCTCCTCTTCGTCAATGACGTGGCCGGAAATGAGTCATAAAAGTAATCCGGGTTCTTTATTGCCACACCTTGTATTCTGCTGTTTTCAGTACAATCTCCTAGTCCAAGATAAGTTTCTTGCACTTTGGATTAGTGGGATTTTGGGCTTTGTCCACTGTCCATTACTCTGAAGAACATAATGTTTGAGAAACTTGAACTATATCCATCCTCAGGTGAGAAAGTTGGTGACACATTCCATGGGGTCAGTTAGAAAGAGCTGACCTCAATCACTAGACCTTTGATTCAGTGACTGAGGTTAGCTCTTTTTAACTGACCCTACATAGTGTCTCCCACCCCCTCACGTGAGGACAGAAACAGATCCAATTTCTGAGATGATTTGTTCTTTAGAATACTGGACAACATTCAAAGCTCAAAAACCAATTAAATCTGGATGTTACACACCATCATCAGAACCCTTTAGACTCTACAAGTTCCTTACAATTTTGCAATTCTGTCCTGCTGGTTTTAAGCCTTCCAGCTCAGGACGCAAAGCTTGGTGGGGTTGTTACAGAGTAATAAAGTTAAGATTCTTAAGCACTACACCAAACTGATGTCAGAATACAGCTCATTCATCTAGCAGTAACAGGATGTGGATGGTGTTATATTTGAGGTCTGAAGTATTGATGTAGTGAGGTGGACTCTGTCATGACAATTTAGTCCGTGATGTAATTTATAATTCACTATAATATAATTATAGATTCCAATCAGCAGGCTCCGCACAGAAAACTGTGTACAAGTGAGAAAAATAAAGCATAAATGCCTAACCTTTATTGTGCAAACAGTATGATGTCTAATCTCTATAACACAGGTTATTCCTGGTGCTGTATGTATGTTACTGCACTGTTGTAGTTCTTCCTCACAGAAAATACACATACTGCTTTACACTCTAGCTTAAGCAAACATTTCTCCTTCTGTTCATAATAACAGATTTAAATGGAGTAACATGTGGTAAAGATTTCAAGAATCTCAAAATTAATACACTGGGTATGTTCCAAAAAGCACATACATGGCATATAAATACCATACTAATATAAACACTTTCTGTACTTTGCTGAATATGATTACCCTGAATACTGTGTCTTCTTCAGGTGTAAAGAGTATCATATGTGGCCCCAATCATATTTGTAGAAATTATTAGATGCTACAAATGAATTTGTACCTATGCCAAATAACTGGATCAACAAATTTTGACAAATTGTGTCATTATATATTATTTCATGTTTAAATCTTTATTAAATCTGTAAAAATGGATGCAAACCAGATGACGCAACAGTTTACATGTTCTGAGATTTTTCAAGACATTAAGTTAAAAGTAAAGTTGCCCTTGTGCTTAACTACTAAAGCACTATATCAAAAAGGCATCTGGGGAAGTGGATGTATAGATCCACATTTTCTTGACCTTGGCACTAGTTGGAGGTGAGCGGTCATCTTCATGCTCTGCCCGCTTCACCCCCAGGCAGAAAGCCCCCAGTGCCCATTGGACAGGAAGCTGGGTGGGTCCTGCAACCAGAATTCTTGTCCCTACTGGGACTCAAACTCCTACCCCTTGGTTGTCCAGCCTGTAGCCAGTCACTACCAACTGAGCTATCCCAGCTTCCCAAGATACATGTTAGCCATAAAAACTCTGACTTAGCAAGAACTCTGATAGGTTACACTTCTACTGCATTCTTTAACTGCAATGAAAATTAGAGTTTAGGGAGAGGTGAGACAAGAGTTCATTCACATTCTTTTCTTTTAGGGAGTTATTTTATGACACTATCAGTCAACTAGCATTGTACAGCATCAAATGGTATGCTGATTCATGAATTGGAAAGGATTGGGGGGGGGGGATGGTCATGGACTAATCAATGTACTAACTCGGCATTTTTATGGGATAGGGGGAGGGGAAAGTGTTCAACACTGTTATGAAATACGGCCTATTTAGTGACATATTAATAAATAATACATTTACGTAGGGTGAAATATGTGATGAATGAAATTTTACTTTTCATATTGGTAGCAGCATATTAAATCAGTATTAAATAATAAAACAAGAATTCAGTTATATGAGCAGTACTGGTATCTTGCTTATATACTCTTAGAGCATACAACAGTTACATATGATCTAAAACCAGTATCTGCTTGCAACCCTGATTCTCAAAAACCAGTGGAAGAAAGAGAATGACACTTCATACTTCTGTGTCCCCACAGAATAGACAAAATACACTGTAAAATGAGGCACTGGCTAAACAATTAATGTCAAAAACTATACTACATCTATACCACAGGCCTCCAAGAAGTTTATTACATGTATATAAGTCTAGAATATACCATTATGTCCAAAGAAATATAACAAACTGCAACAACTGACTTGAAGATATGGAATATCACATGAAAAGTTTTAACCTTATTTTACGCCATAACATTCGTTTTTATAATAGTTTATAGTTCATTGTATTTTTACCATGTATTTTATAATGTAATAATTGTCAAGTATCCAGCTTCATCATTGCAATTGCAGTTCAATAGTGTGTGAATACGGTAATCATGTTTGCCTGCTGATGGCTTTAATAGGCAAAACATGTAGCTAAGCTAATTTTAGCCTCGACCATTGTATTGTTGTGTTGCGATGGACTCTAATAAAGAATTGTCGTAATATTACATTCAGAAATTCCTTCACTGTATATAAACATATATTTTTTACAATACTCTGTATTAGGTTACAATTTCTAGTGTGTAGGTTAAAACTTTTCAATTACTACTGTTGTTCTTGTACAGTAATCAACAAAACTGACGATAATTTTTAAAATAGTGTATGTTTTGTTTACTTGTGCAATGAAAACAGAATTTCTCATTAACGGAAAAAAATGTCGATTTAGCCATGAAGGAGTGTCAATGTATGTAACATGGCGATTTTTTTTTAAGTTTGACAGTCAATCGTATTTATCATTACAGATGCATGAAACTGTTATACAAAACTATCTGTAACTAGAAAACATCTGCTTACATTATCAATAACAACCGGCTGATTTACGATAACATCATATGGTTCCATTTTATTTTATTACGCTTAAGCAGCTCCGTATAAACAGCCAAACAACCCTCTTCCTACTCCTTGCTCCTGACGTATTTTCTTACAGGAGAATCTTTCGATCGTATTATCTGTTGGCCAACCTATGTTACTTAAATTACCGGTTAGACTATGTGTTTAGTACCTTATAAGAAAATATGGCAGTGTCTTCAAATATAGAATGCTGTATTGCATCAAACTTATATTTCAACTGGATGATGTAAACAATAGCTTTTCAAAATCATTAACAATGGAAGCCGTATATTTATTATTTTTCTCGTCATCGTGCTAGTGTTGACGACAGTGATCTCTTGTACGCTCTTGTATCTCTAAGCACGGATAGCTTAACTTTATTTATCCATGCGTTATTTACCCTTTAGGCCTCGTCTACTCGTCTAGGTGTGTAGTAAACGGTAGTAAAAGGTAGTAAAGGTGCGGAAGTAGTAAGCTTAGCATGAAGTTATGTGTTTGGTTAGGCCAGTGAACTGATTTTTCATGCTTGCTAGAAATGTTGAGGTCAATGAATACGTTGGGATGTAGTTTAAAATATTCGGGTTTACACGCGTTGAATGAGTTAAGAATAAAACCCGTATGTGTACAGAGCGTGAGATGGAAAAGGAAACCTAGGTGGTTACCAGTAGCAAAAAGTAAGCAATTTCGTGTTCCAGAGCGACCGAAATTTGATGAAGGTGAAACGCTTGAGCTCAGAAGATTATACGACCGCTACAGAACGCATTTACGAGCTGTTAGGTATGTATAAATCTGTAAAGTATTGGGAATGTTATAGTGTTGGTTTTATATTAGCTCGGTGCGTCGTGTGTTTCACGTTCTGGTTAAAGTCTAGTATACACTCACCGGTGTCCACCCCTGCTTTGTAATATTAGTTGTTTTTTATTTTATGAACTAATGCAAACCGAGGGTTAGGTTTTAAGTTACGTTTTTAAAAAATGAACATATGTTGGCGCGGAGGAGAGGGACTTATTCCCTTGGTGCCTCTGAAAGTGAGAATGTCAACGACGATGTACTGTTACAGTACATTTTCCCTAATTTACAATATGGTTACCACCCATAGTTCTGGGAGATGAATATCCTATTTACTGACTGTAAATATTGAAGGAAATTAGTGTGTCATTTACATTAATTATACATGTATGAATATGAAGCCTGTGGTATGTGTGAATAACTTCGATTCATAATGTTACAGGAAGTATTTAAAGCAAGAATTCATAGATTTATCAGCCAGTAGTTCAGCAGCACTGGAGGGAACTCAAAATGAAGCAGAAGAGCATCAGCTGTGTCTAAAGGAAAATGAGGAATGGAACAAACAAGTAGCTTTGCTACGAGAACAGCGTCTCTTACAAGAACAGGAGGCTAGAAGGGAGAGCATTCTTGCTAAGCTAGTTGCTGCTGAGGAACGACAGAAAGAACGTATGGAGAAAGCAGAGGAGATGGTTCGAGAGGAAAAGGTAATAATGTCATGGTGATTACCAGTCTTAAAAATATGTATAAAAAAAGGTAAAGCTATTCCTGTGATAGGCCATGGAGGTCATAGGGTTGCGAGATGTTGAAGCTTTCTCATTTTCTAGACAATCGGCTCACAGATGGTGGTGAGGTCGTCATCTGTATGCACTGGCTGCCCTTTACCCCCAGGAAGACTCACTTCTGTCAGAGGCTGAGTCAACCCAAAAGCCATAATGCTGCTGGAAGTATTAAGTAATTTGAAAAAATCCAATGACCTCATCAGGACTTTTACCTATGACCTTCCAGCTTGTAGCATAGTGCCTCAACCAACTACACTACAGTGTCTCCCCCCCCCTTAAAATATGTATATATTAAAAATATTATTTTGAAATTGAAGAAACCAAGCAACAGACTTTCTAACATGTCAGCATTGCCGTAGCAGCTGTATTTTAAACCTGTTCCTTAGTACTGATCTGAGCTTATTACAAATTAGTGACTGGAGCACTAGCAGAAATTATTTGGAGGTGAAACTTCCTTATATATATGCTGTCTACACTCTGGGTACTTTTGTAGAATTACCAGGAATGTGATACATAATTTCTTATTGTTATTGTATTTATTTACAAATGATTACATATTGTTGTAAATCATCAGATGAATTTAGTGCTGCTACTACTGTACGCCCGGGGGCACGTGGTAGCATAGTTGGTTGAGGCACTATGGTACAAGCCAGAAGGTCTCAGGTTCAAGTCCCGATGAGGTCATTGGATTTTTTTTTCAATTGACCTAATCTGTCTGGCTGCACTGTGGCCCTGGGGTGAACTCAGCCTCTAACAGAAATGAGTACCAGGAATATTCTTGGGGGTAAAGGGTGGTCGACACGTAGGGCTGACAACCTTGCTGCCATCTATGAGCCGATTTTCTAGAAAATGTGGGAACCTCAACATCTCACAACCCTATGGGCCTCCGTGGCCTGTTAGAGGGATAATTTTACTTTTTTACTTTACTACTGTAGGTCCATTTTAGTAACATTAAAATGGACAGTAAGATAGGTACTGAAGTCTCCAGTGTGAATACCTCTACAATGAATTATGGGTGCTGTAGTCCACTTTTAAATTCCTGTTCTGTTTTGTTCTCTTTCAGGAGAGAGCTAAATTTTATATCACAGCTGATAATATTGATAAAGCAATTGAAGATGCCCTAGCTAGTCCTGTGGATCATAACTATGCTATTGACTTGGAAGGACACATATATCGAGGACACAAAACCAAACCCAGTGATGTTCCCCCAGATGAATTAGAGAAGATCCAAGTTCAGGGATAAATTTCATGAAGCTTCAAATGGTTTCACTCCACTGCTTCATCTCAGATAGTAGAAACTAAATACACTATAGGAGGTTCATAATGTAAGACCATTTCATAGCACGGGCATATGATTAATATATGCAAACAACTTTTATTGTTTGTCAGTTAATATGATGAATGTGTCCATCTGCCAAACTGATTTTCCTTATTAATTTTCCTGTAATAGGTTGAAGTTTCAGACGGGTCAGATCCAGTGTACATTTTTCCGTATGCTTGTCTCTTCTCTGACTGCCCCTGTGGTCTAGTGGTCAGAATTCCTGAGAAGTAGTGGGTCTGGAATGGGGCCCACTCAGCCTCATGAGGACAATTGAGGAGGTACTTAAATGGAAAAGTAACAGCTCCGGTCTATAAAACGGAAATGAACGCCCATGGGGATTTTGTTGCGTTGACCACGACACCCTCTGTTCACTGAAGTTAGCACTGACTTCGCCAACAAGCAGCAGTTGCTCGGTCAGTATAGTTCCTTTGCCGACTAAAGTCAAAGTTTGAAATTGGAGGGAATAACCACCCTTCATCGTGGCTCAAAACCCATGTTAAGCTTAAGCACTCTAGTGGTCATGTTCCTTATGTATCTGTGTTCTGAACTAGCTCAAGAGGGGGCCACTTCCAGTCACCTCAAGCACTCGGCTACTGCTAAGTCTGCTGTGCACCCCAGATTTCACTATGGCCCTTTAAGGGATCCTGTCCTCAATGCTTAAAGCCAACACCCTTTTGATGAGGTCCTCCTGATATATGTCAGCTCTAACCATGCTGAGTGAAAATCTCCATTCTACGGCCTATTAAAGCTGGGCACTGACAGAGTATGCCATAGAAGAATTTCTCTTCCTGCATATGGCACGATCTGAGAGGGCCATAATATGTGGTTGCCATCTCAGTGTACAGTCTCATTAACTAACCTGCACTGTGTCCTGTCCATGGCCAAGTAGGTCCCAAGACAGTTTACTAAAGGTCCTTCAGTGAAAAGCTTTCACTGTTTCATCCCTGGTGTGGCAGCTCAGTGTTTGAAGTGCTTCCTTATCACCCACTGTTTAATCTTGAGCTTACCAACATACGGTGAGATTGAAACTGCTGGTTTGGGACTCTGAGGAGTGAACTGCTCAGTCCCTCCATCAGAGCTGCCTATGTATCTGAGCATGTTACCACTAATGGTAGTGGTATCTGCTGACACATAGCTTCATCTCCGTAATGAATTTGTTAACTATTGCTGATGCAGACAAGGGCCAGGAAGGTCAATAACTACCATAAACTGATGCACTGGGCACATTCATTTTTATCAAGTGTAAACATTTACACAAATGAGGAAGAATTTTTTTTTACTCATGAATGGATGATAGTCTTAATGTTTTCTTTATGTTGTACTGTGTCTTAGAAATAAAAACATGATATGCACCATATAATGCAGTTTTACTGTATCCTGTCATAACCTCTCAAGTACGTAGGTCGTACCGAAAGTCATGAGCAACTTTTTTTTCCATGCAACCTGGAAACAGCAGACGAAAGAGAGTATGGTGGTAGGTGGAACCAGCTGTTGTGTTAACATTGAGTGTCATGTGATGTCAATAGCGTGCATCACGTGACTAGTATCACTCCTAACAAAATGGCCGACAATATGTCGTTTTGCCAGTGTGTTGTCATCAAATTTCTTGTGAAAGAGGAAATCTCTGCTGCAGAAATTCACCAGAGACTTCAGTGTGCTTATGGAAGTGTGTGCATGGGTGCAAGCAGTGTTCGAAGATGGTGAAACATTTTAAAGATGGGAACACCAGCATCGAAGATGAGCCTCTGAGCAGTCGTCCTTGAACAGCCTCAACTGAATGCAACAAGAAAGAGTGGATGAGATCATTTCAGATGACAGGCATGTGACTGTGCACACAATAGCCCGAAAACTTGGAATAGGGCACAGTGCAGTACAGATAATTGAAAGCTTGGGCTATAGGAAAGTTTGTGCTCGTTGGGTCCCGTGGTTGACCGAAGACCACAAAGGTCAGCGAAAAGCCATCACCTCAGAACTGCTGCAGACATATCAACACGAAGGTGATGACTTTTTGCTCTGTATTATGACAGGTGATGAAAGCTGGTTTCACCATTTCGAGCCTGAAACGAAATGGCACAATTTGTATTCTCCATCAAAAAAGAAGGCAAAGACAGTGCCATCAGCTGTGAAGGTGATGGGCACAGTCTTCTGGGATGCAGAGGGGTTTACTGTGGCTGAATTCCGGGAACCTGGGCAAACCATCAATGCTGCTCATTACGTCCAGACGCTGCACAAGCTCCGTCGTGCATTGCGCGATAAACGTCCGGGACGAAACATCATCATCCTGCATGACAATGCTCGCCCCCATGCTGCTTGCCTCACATTGGAAGCAAACTCCCAGAACACTGGGAGAAATGTGTACAAAGAAGTGGCGATTATGTGGAAAAATAAAGAAAGGTCTGTAGATTGAGGTGGTGTATTTGGTTTTTCAATAACAAAGCATGTTACTTTACAAAAAATTGTTGCTCATGACTTTCAGTACGACCCTCGTACATCCGCCAACATTACACACCCACTTGTATCAGTAGGTTGGAAGTCATGCAGGATGAGTAACAAGCCCTAGCTCCAACTCACACTTAACCCTGTGAATGGAAGCTGATGATTTTTAGCTCTAACAAATGTGCAGCTATTGCTACTCCAACCCAGCTGGTCATTGATATACTTGGGTTTCATATAGAAAAGTTAAAAAAATGAATGAATAAACAGCATAAAATTGTGTACTTCAATTTAAGATAATGACATGCAAGTACAGAGAGTTAAATTTAAAAAGGACTTAAGATAAAAAAGTTATAAGAACTGGCTAAGAAGAGACAAGCAAGAAATTAAATGATCATATTTTGGAAATTTTAAAAGCTGCAATCTCAGAAGGAAAAATCCAAGTTGAAATTAGAAGAAAATCCATGGAACTGAAAAATTTTTAAAAGTTAAATTTTCATTTGCATAATGTGATTCAAACATCAGGACACTATTCTAGAGATAATTTGGAACAGGAAAGGTAAATAAATTGTTCGTCACAATCACCCTTGTTATGTCACTTCAACAGTTTTAAGAAAATATTGACCATATATATACTTCATTATGTACATGTAACATTTTTATTTATTTATTTTAATTACACTGAACAAAAAGCAAACATTCCAAAGTTATTGTCTTTTTCAGTTTAAATTTTATGTTACATGTGATACAAATGTCTGTGTAGTGGGGACTAGCACAACAGTTCTATTATTTCTTCATATGAAATACTCAAAGTTACCACCTCCAGCTTGCATGCATTGCTTCACAGCAATTTCAATGGAATCACATGGACCAGCTGTCCTGGTCAGCCCCTAATGTTTGTCACAGTTACTGGGACGCAAACTGATCAGGTTGTCACTACCTTCCACTTCCACAGTATAAACATTTTCTCTGATGTAACCCCATAAGAGTAAATGAAGTGGGCTCAGGTTAAGTGAACATGAATGCCAGAAAATCAAACTTACGCAGTCAATCCATACATCTGGAAAATGGTTTTCAACCAATTACATACTAAGGGGAAGTGTTCGTTCAATGAAATGAGCATACTGAATTCCACCATGTATGGTTCAATTAGGTAATCATCTATGATCCTGGACCAGAAGTTGAAATGAACATCAAGTAGTATGAGAATTCTCCAGTGCTCGTTCATATGGGTTGTGGAGACTGTTTATTCCCGTCCTTGTGAATGGTGCCCCATGTCTATATTGGATTCATCTGCAGTTTTGTGTAGAAGCCATCAGCAGAGCAGGAGGTGCAGTTTACTGTCCCCTGGCTGCAGCCCTTGTACAAGTTGTACACGAATATGATACAATTGCTCCTCATGTAGCATATGCCAAAATACATTCTCAGAGAGGCCCGATTCTTATGCAGCCTGAAGAACGTTAGTTGGCAGATTGGCATATACAGCACTGAACACTTCCTGCTCAGTTTGCATATTGTCTTGGTCACAGCCAGTGTGTGCTGGTGGTATGAATGCACATGTTTCTTTCAGTCATATGTGAATTGCATATCATCATGCTCCACAGTAAATCATGCCCTCTAAGTCTGCTGTTATCACTGTTTCTCTGCTGGAAATAGTGTGAGCCATCAGTAAATGCAATATGAACTCCATCTTATGACACTGTGCAGGCACTACCACATGAGCATACAAAGCAAATCAAGACTAAAAATTGAAACCCCATGACCCTGAAATGTGCTGAATCTGGCATTTATTTACATTTTCTGCTCTAAATTATCTCAACAACCTCCCAAATTTTGGCCATAAACTTTAAATCACCCTAAACAGAATTGCCTCTTATAAATAGAAATTTGGGCAGAGAGTAAGAGAGGTGTAAGCTGCCTCCGTAGTCTAGAGGTAACGTTCCCACCTCATGACTCGTAGTACGCAGGTTCAAATACCCGGCGGAGGTCGTCGAATTTTTAAGGGCGGAAAAATTCAGGGAACAAGTCCTCCGGGAGGGACTTTAAGCCGTGGGTCCCGTGTCGTAGCTTTACGGCACGTAAAAGAACCTCATACCTCCAAAGGAGGTCACTGAGCCAAAATTGCGGACGTTTGCCGCCCAACAGCAGTCACTAATACCTCCGGTAGATGGGGGAAGCATTATAGACACTTCTCAGCCAGTAGAGCCGGTCTCGCTGGCTGGGCGGGACTGATGGTAAGCACCAATACCGGTAGGATATAGAGGCTGGTAGAAATCATAGAGGGAAGCACAATGGACCACTATAGGTCTAAGTGCATGGGGAAACCCACCCACCCACCTAACTAACTAAGAGAGGTGTAAGCAGATTGCAAGCATTACAGATTAAAATCTGTGAAATATTTAGAAATGAACAGGAAGGTATAAAACTGAAACAAGATGAGAAAACAGAGACACTACATTTAAAGTTGATGAATTAATGATATAGTGGCATGGACATCTGGTATACCAAGATGACAACAGAATTCCTTTGACAGCATAAATATAGTATGACCATTAGGGAGACAAGGGACAAGGCGAAGAGACCAAGTCAAACAGAAGGAATGGACAATGATACAAAAGCGATACTCATTAAAGAATAGGAATACTTACTGACAAAATTCTGATTTACTGTCTGTTTAGGCCACTACACATAAGATGTTAAATCTATTTTGTAGTACCTACTGAGGGACCAGGCCGCGCCATAGCTCAAGCAGTTAGTCGCTAGCTTCCCACCGCAGAGGCCCGGGTTCGATCCCGGGTCTGGTGAAGTGGGATTTGTAGTGAACAAAGTGGTGCTGGGGCAGGTTTTCTCCGAGTACTACAGTTTCCCCTGCTAATCTTCTGTTTCAATGTATGTCATAATATACGTGTAATAATTATAGAAGGCTGTGGTAGCCAATTCAAAATCATCACTTACATTTAAAAAAGTTGCATGTATTCCAACCATGATGTAGTGTACATATGTAAGTACTGGTGGGATTTGAACTATTTGTGATGTCCGTCACTCAAGTTCAATATGAGTAAATGCATTTATTCTTATATGTATGCAAATGCAGGAAATTATGAGTGGAATGTATGTGTTCCATGCTTGTGGGCGCACAGAAAATAGTTGGTGGGGTTCTGCTTGTGAAGTAAAATTCCTAATCAGCAGTTGGTTGTAGGTAATGGACTTTAAAAAATCTTTAACATTTTGGTTTGGATAATGCTATTGATAATGAGAATGCTGAATTATTCTTTATTATTTACATATCCCTGTGACACTTCAAAGAATATGAAATATCGACATACCCACATTACTGCTTAAACCTTTAGTGCCAAAGTGTATTCCATGAAATTGGAAAGTTTGGGGATGGAGTTCTAGTTACATATTTCACCTAAAGTATCCATTATGAAAATTTTTAGGAATTTTATAAATTTTTGTAAATGTTCTTACACATGTAAATGAATTAAAACAAAGCTTCAAACAGAAACAAGATTCATCTGGCTCAAGATAAGAGTCCAGTGGCAGGTTCCTGTGAACATGGTAATGAACTTCCAAGTTTCATCAAGTGCAGGGAATTTCTTGAGCAACTGATCACCTATCAGCTTCTCAAGAAGACCTGTGCTCTATGGAACTGTTAATCTAATAGATCTCTGTACTATAAGGGTTAAATATGATCGCATTACAGAATGTTTACAGCTGAAATATATTGTAAAACAAATGCTGCATTACATTCAGAGGTGAATTACATCACTCACATATCCAGTAACTGACAGTATTCTGAATGTTTCTACTGCTCTGCCACAGATGCACTATTCGGAGATTGTATTACTTCTTGTCCCACAATGTCAGTGAGTCTCATCAACTGCTCTGTATTTAATTCAACAGCGCCACTCAGTTGCTGAGCAAGTTTACCAGTTTCTGGAAATCCAGCATCTGCAGAATACTGGATGCATTCCTGAAACAATGATAAGGTGTTCTCTTTCTTTCTCCTTGTTCCCTGTTTGTCTAATCTATGAAATGTCTGCTGAAAAACTGGATATTGTGGAATTACTGCTATATTTGACACAAAATTGGAACTGTATGCCTCAATTATTGCCATTAAGTTCTAAAAAAGAACTACAAGAACTATGGAAAGCTAAATGAATCCAATCTCAACAAAGAAATAGAATTTACAAATTTTTAAAGGAAACAAAACAATGGATTACTATACAAAGAAATTCCCAGAGCACTGCAGACTCTTGGTGCAACAGCTAGGGAATGGCATATCTCCACAGAGAACAAATTCTTCCTTAATAGTCACAAAGCCGTTCAGGAAATTTCCCACATTTGGAGGACCATTTGGGAGACCCAGTCACAGCAAGAGAATAATATTAAAATAAATCTTAGATAACTAGACTATGACAGTGTCAACTGGATTTAAGTAATCCATGTCATGATCCAGTTGAAGGCTTCTGTGGATGTGATTCTGCATCTTCAGAGTCCATAAAAGGTAGGGGCATTTCTTGCCCAGCTGGGTAACTATCAACTTTTCAAGAAAGGTTCTGTGCCACATATATATTTGAATGCTAAATGCAGAAAATATTAAGTTATGAAAGTATAACATTCATAACTGCTGGGGCTATCCATATTGACCACTATAAAATCCTAAACTGCAGAAAAGTTCTGATAACATGCACTTCTAATAGACACTACTCTAATGTACAATTCCAATGACTGTATACATACTGCATTAAAATTTAAATACTCAATTCTTGTGTGAATGACATCTCATAAAAGAAAATAAATAAGCTAGACAGCTTACAGGAAATTTTTATTGAAGATAGTATCATGGCAAATACTGAATAAACTGAAAGCAAGGATGGCACAGTTATTTTTAACCTTAGTAGGCATGTATAATGAGCAGTATTTCAATGAGACAATGTTAAAACTTACAAGTGCTTCAGTTATTTTATTCCGTGATATGCACATATCTGTGAACAGCTGCAGTGCTTCAATGTTAGGAACACCAACTATGCTGTTTTGGTTTTTTTCCAACTTGGTGAGAACACGACGTGCTTGATCAAATCTTTCATAACGCAAACAGAGCAACATAATATCTCCAAGCATCTCACCAGTCCATCTACAGTGAAGAAAATGGAACAGAAAATATAAACTGCAATGCTTCAGTGGTCCATGATGAGTCACAGTGAGATTCTACAACTGCAACAATGCTTTGTTTTACTCAAGTGATTGTGCTGAGCTATAAGTAATGTGAAAATCAGTGGCCTTAGTAGTCTAGGGGTAATGTTCCCACCTCATGACTCAAGGTACGCGGATTCAAACCTGGCGGAGGTCGTGGAATTTTTAAGGGCGGAAAAATTCAGGGAACAAGTCCTCCAGGAGGGACTTTAAGCCGCGGGACCCATGTTGTAGATTTACGGCACGTAAATGATCCCCATGTCTCTAGGTGACCTCTGAGCAAAATTAGGCAACACATTTCCTGCCCAAGTAGTTTCCAATGCCCTTGGTAGATGGGGCAAATATCAGGTACCAAGGGCCGACCTCGTTGGCTGAACGGGGCTGATAGCACGCACCAGTACCAGTAGGGTATGGAGACAGTAGAAATTAAAGGGGGACACACAGTGGACCAATAACTGGTCTAAGTGCATGGGGAAACCCACCCCCTATAATAATAATAATAATGTGAAAATCAAAGACAAATAATAACATAATAACTGTCAAAAAGATTATGTTATCATTCTAGCAATTTAATGTTACACGAAATAAAAGAATAAAATAAAATGTTAATATATAACAAAAAATACAAATTAATGATGTTAATAATCAAACATAACAAATCCGAAAATATATTGAACTCTTCGATTGTTTGGCTAATTTAATGCAATAGAAAAAGGGTATAAAGTCATTACTGTGCTTAATCAGTTAAGCACCATGCCATGATGGTGGGGGAGTGGAGGTACAGCTCCATCATTTTTAGCCTTGGCACTACACAGAGGTGAATTGTTGGCTACATGCCTCAGTCACTTCACCCCTAGGGAAACATTCCCTGATACCTACTGTATAGGAGGCTCGGTGGAACCCAGAGTCGGTCTGGATGCTGTGATGAAGTGAAAACTCTACTGCGTCTACTGGGAATCAAACCACGATTCCTCAAAACTAAAAGGTCCTTTGGTTATTTAACACAAACGATATAGGAAGATAAGCATAACCTGTCATATATGATGGTCTTGAAGGAGGCACTTTTAATTGATCATGGTCTATGCCTTAGGATACAGATGGACACAGAAAACCCCAGTCAAGATAGCTAGTAACCCTATCAAGATTTGAACAACTTGAATACAAATTTAATGTGTTACCACTACAACATTTCTGATGAGGTCACTGGATTTTTTCAATTGACCTAACCCTTCCAGCCGCACTAGGCCCTGGGGTTTACTCAGCCTCTAACAGAAATGAGTATCAGGAATTAATTAAATAATTTTCCTGGGGAGTGAAGCGCGGCTGGCAAGTAAGGCTGACAACCTTACCGCCATCTTTGAGCTGATTGTCAAGGTAATGTGGGACCCTTAACGTCTCACAACCCTATGGGCCTTCACGGCCTGTTACAGGGATAGCTTTACTTTTTTACCACTACAACATTCTTGGTAAATTACTATGATATATTAGTTACTGATATTATGAGGTCTGAAATGAAATGTGATATGAATAGTGAATTAGATGAGAAGCAGCTAGTCTATTTCAAGTTGTAAATTCCCAGTTATCTGGCAGGTATGGAAGTGAAGCTCACAAAGGGCTGTCGTGCAAGTAGTGGTGATGATGATGATGATGATGATGATGGAAGTGAAGGGTGCAGATACAGGAATCTGCCAGCTGAATGTGAAAGACTCTTACAGAAACCCAACATAACACAGTCCACCAAACAAGCCTACACAGCACTGAAAATGCAGCAAAAACAAGGTAATCATAATGAAGTCCATTGCAGACCAATGGGAGAAATACTTTGAATGTACTATAATGTGAGAATAAGTGCAAATGGCCTCTGCTGTAATGGCAACTGCATAAGACAGAATAATGGGCAATGCAGCTAGGAGAACTACAGCGTCCTGAGTTAGCATGCACATCTAACTTTTTTCATAGTTTCTATATAACAATCATTAATTTTCTTTAAAACTTCTGAGAATTCCAATTGTTTGGATATTGGATGACAAGGAATTTACTGTATTAACCATAACAGCTGATGCAGCATCGTGAAATAAAACATTGTAAACAGATTCACAACATGATACACAACTTTCACATCTTTATCACAAATCACCACTGCTACACTTTGGTAGGGGTCATTACTTGTTTTCAGGAACTGTGCTAAAGATTAGGCAGCAGTAGAATTTTATGTGGCACACCAATATGTCATCATTACCTGAACTGTCTGTACTTTTCTCCATCTACACTGACTTCCAGCTTCTCCCAGGCATTCCATGCAATTACTGCAAACTTTTCTGTGAGATCACTTGATGGCTGAGGTTTATTCCTTACCATCCCACTCAAAATGGCAGCAACATTATTTACTCTTTCTGTATGGTCAAAAATTACCATATCTGACCATAGTTTTGGGAAATATTCAGCAGCTCCATTCATATCAACAGCTCTTATTACTTCCTGCATATAAATAATAATGTTTAAGGTATACATAAAATATAACAAAGATCAGTTTATAAAAGTCAAATCTTATATTACACCCAAATTAATACCAGTGGAAGGGCTCTACACTCACAAGATAAAAGATGTTCCTATGCCTTACCATGATGGCATACAGGAAGAGTGTAGGAAATCTTTGTGGATTTTTAATCTCAGCACTAGACTGAGGTGAATGATTAGCTCCACATTCCAGCTCATTTTATCCCAGAGAAATAGCACACAATACCTGCTGGACAAGGAGCTGCTTCTGTTTGTTCCAGACACAGTCATTCAGCTGAGTGTTTAAACCAGTGCTGTCCAACGTTCTTATGTACTTGGGCACAATTCACTGATGCCTATGGAGGTGCGGGCACCAGCACACACTACTACTACTACTAGTACTTCTACTACTACTACTACTACTACTAATAATAATAATAATAATAATAATAATAATAATAAAATTTTTAAAAAATATTTAACAGTAATCAGACGTTCAAAAATGTCTCTTGTCTTACAATTTGAATTAATATTAAAAATCGGCTCAATTATACATGGTTATGGAGGGTGCCAGAAAAATATACCATGGGCTCCGCGTTGGACAGGGCTGGTTTAAACTGTTTAAGAAATATGGTTGCTAAAACTTTCTGTCTGGGCAAAACAGGTCTCAGGAAATGGTCTGATAAATTTCCAGTGAAGTCTGAATGTGTTAACAGAGCATGTGGATAAAGACATAACATCTGAAGCAAACTTTTTCAAAGGTCTTACATGATGTTCTAATTCAGCACAACTGCCAGCATTTGGCTCAAAACTCACATATAACACTCTTCTCTCTACAAGCAATACTTTCTGTATGCGTGTGTGTGACCATTAGTAATAATTCTATGCACTTGCATTGAAATTCCACTGCAGTATCTGCCAAAGCAATTAACACAGAGCAAGTGAATTCTTGAGCAATGATTCTTTCCTGTCATAGTTACAACAATGAATTCAGGGATGGTAGTCTTAATTATGAGTCTACAGATTCGGTTTATTTATTTTTCAAAGCTTTGGACCATAACAATCTGGATTATCTGAACCAATAACTCCTATACCTGGCAGTGCCATTCCTACTTCTAAACTTGAATCAAAACTGTACTTATTTTGAATCTATATTTACCCACTGTGCCACAGGGCATCACTCAATCTGAGAGAGGTTGAACTTGAAGATCTCTAACTGATAACGGGTCAACACTAAACCCCCATGACACCACTTTTTATCCAGGGGTAATATCTGTTAGCCCCTACAGTGGAAAGGATTTGGCTAGCTGAATCTTAAAGAGGGCTGTGAAGCAGGAATTCCTCAAAACTAATCCTCCATCTCATATCAATGCTACATACGCATGCACAAAATAGGGTTTGTATCTGGGGGACCTCCATGAGACAAATAAAAACCCAGAGTTGATAGAGGTTGATATTTAGGGTACAGTGATAGAAAAAGAAGTTTAATACAGCTCTAGAATGAACAGTTTAACCTTTAACGTCCGAATGACACATATATATGATGCAAGCGGCAACCGGAGTTGGCCGAATGGCACATATATATGATGCAGGACACGTACACTCTTTGGGAGTGCTGACAGTTTGACCTCAGGTTTGAAACCAAAACAAACCTATGTGAGGTCATGTCAGTGGTTCATTCCTTAGCTCTGAACAAATAAATCGTTTATCTTGGTCCTGGTTTCAAAACTATTTTATGTTTATTTATGACTGTTTATGACCTCATCAGCCAAATATAGCCCAGCTTTGTTCTGAGAACTGAAGAGGAAATATTCGTCGGTGCTTGCAGATCAGTGCTTCCAGAGCTTTCAAGGAAGTGTGACATATTCAAGGATTGGTTTTCAGTGGCGAATTATCAGTTAGGAAGTCAGCGTTGGATTGTGTAATATTTCTTTTTCACTTAAAAAGTTAGTGTCAGACTGTCATATATTTCTTTTTATATTATTTTGTGTCTCGGAATAGGTATAAAACCACTGAGCCAATATTACTTTGTGAGGAAAAGGCATCTTCGTCACTGTAACTTTCCATATCAGTGTCGGACTGGCACCTTTTCAACTACTATTACAATTATTATTTCTTATTGCCAGTGGGATGGGACTAAGTCCCTTGTACTGCTGCCACTTATGGCCTATTGTACCATACTATTACAGTTACTCTGCATCACTATTTTGCGAGTCTTTGTCAATCAACATAATTTATTCGATTTTGCTGGACACCCCCACCCCCCAAGATGGAACCTCAAAAACATGCCCGATATTCCAAACTTCTCGATGCAGAAGAACTGGAAGAAATGCTGATGGAAGAGGAATCTCATGAAGCGTTAGAAGATATCAATGAGTTCATTGAACCTTGAGCAAGTATGTTGTCGTCGTCATCATCATCATCAGACGAGGCAGAGGAAACGGAAATTAGGTTTCGTGATAGAAGACTTGGGGATTCGCCAAAGGTACTAGACTTCACTGGTCCTCTCAGTGGAATCAACAGATCACCTGCTCCCAATATAAATGCGCAGTCCTCTCCTTTTTCCATTTTCATTCTGTTTTTCCATCAAATATTCCAAATCTTGTTACAAGAAACCAACAGATATTTCCACCAATTTATGGCATGCCAAGATGCTCCAGGCCCTTCTGTTCAACCGCCTGACATTACAATTGAAGAGCTATATAACTTTTTGGCAATAATTATTCAAATGGGCCACGATCAACGGGACACCCTCAAAGATTATTGGTCAAGAGATGAGCAATACTACACTCCATTCTACCGTTAACACCATGGCATGAGACCATTTCTTCCATATTTTGAGATTCCTACATTTTGAAAATAATGAAGCTCCTCCAAATGGAGATGACCCAGAGTATGACAGGCTCTGGAAAATTGGAACAATTTTTGACACTCTCAACAACAAATTTTGTGAACTTTACAATCCAGGAGAATGTCTTGCTGTTTATGAAGTCATAGTGTTGTTCAAAGGAAGAGTGATTTTTCGTCAGTATATTCCAAAGAAATGCAAAAGATTTGGTACAAAAATTTACAAGCTTTGCGATTTTTTGTGCATACTTATGACATGACAGTTTATTTGGGCAAACAAAGGCAACTTGCGACAGAAGAAATTACATCAACACATGGCATTGTTCTCCAGCTAATTCAAAGACTAAAAGGCTTGGGACACAAAATTTACATGGACAATTATTTCAGTTCTCCTGCTTTATTTGAAGATATTTTAGACAGGAAAATAAATTCATGTGGCACCGTTCGCAATGATTGGCGTGGAATGTCACAAGAAATTCGGCCCAAGTCAATGAAATTGAAAGAAGGGGATATTGTTACAAGAATCAAGGGGCATCTAAGTGCTGTTTGTTGGAAAGACAAGCGTGATGTGTATGTTCTGATGAATTTTCACCCTCCTCCATTGGAGGCAACTTCCGAGATGTATCTGGCCATGCTGTCAAACCCCATGTAATTGAAGATTACAATGCACACATGGGCTTTGTTGATAAATCTGACAGGATGGTAAACAGTTATGGCATTGCTAGGAGGACATGGAAGTGGACAAAGAAACTGTTTTTCCACCTTCTAGATATGACTATTCTAAATGCATATCTATTACACAAGTCATGTGGTGGAAAAATGACACACAAAAAGTTCCGTGAAATATTGGTGTGGGATTTGATTCTTCAGTCGCATGAGGTGAATATCACAGTCAGTGGCATTTCTCGGGGGAGGCCAAGTTCATCTGGGGCCCAACTGAGTCGACTGGAGGTGAAACATTCACAACACTGGCCAACCAAAGAAAAACAAAGATGTCATATTTGTTCTCAAAATAAGAAGCACAGAAGCATGCTCTACTACTGCAAAAAGTGTGACGTTGCACTATGTGTGGTGGACTGCTTCGAGAAGTGACACGCGCGCGTCAGAGTGAGAGTTATCGTAAACTGCGAAGTGACGCAGTTCAAATTCACGTACAGTCTGAACAAAATATTATTGTATATAGTGTGATTACATTTACAATATCACCATGATTCAAGGTTCAAGAAAAAACAATGGGTAAGTCCTTTGGAATTTCATAACATATATAATAAAGATTATATTTTGCATTTCATGACAAAATATTCACAGTTAATTTTCATTTGTAAAACTTGCTCTTTTATGTATATGTAGAAAATGTTACTGTCTTTCAGGTTCTTTTTAGTTCATATTTCTATGTTGCATAGAACGGAAAATATGCATTTTTTTTCTGAAAGTCTGCAATGATAATTAATTAGGGTGATTGAAATTCTGGCCATACTGGGCTGCTGGCAATTTAAAAGTCCATATGTTAGAGGTTAATATAGCTCTAGCCCAAGAACCAAAGCCAATAACATACACTGGGCAAAAAAGCCCATGATCAATAAATTTCTTTGATGCTATATAATCTTGATACTGAAAGCATCATTAAATAATCTACAACAAAAATAATTTTCTGTTTACCTCCATTACTGCAGGTTCTGGGATATAAATGTGAGGGACAAGCTTATTGTAGTATTCCATAAATACTTCGAGAGGTTCCATGTTGCAGAGAAGCACAAAATAATGCCGACTGCAAAAAACACACAATTACAGTGAACAGTATACACTCAACACCAAAGACATATATCAGACAGACATTATTACGTTTCTGAAAAACACTGTTCCTTCACTGAAACAATGTCCATGAGCTGCATATTTCTGCCCAAACCCTCACTCAGTTACAAGTATCTATATTATAGAAAAGCATAAACGGGAGGATAATATAAAAGTGGATAATAATAAAATAGTGTGAGGATGTGGACTGATTTATGTAGCTCAGGTTTGTGTACACAGCAATAAGTCTTAGGTAAATTAGGTGACCTAGTGAAGATTTGTATGCTAATGTTGGTAATTCTAAAATTCTTAGGATGGTAAAGTAAGAGGCTGGTTATGCAAAATATTTTGGTTGTGAAAATAACTAATGAATCTACATAACCTGAAACATGAAATTTCTATGGTAACATACAGTAGTATGTAGATCCATCATGCAATTATTGTGAGATAAGCAAATATACCAGAGCCATTTCTAGGCAACGGCTCTGTAAACATGTTCCTGCAGCAACAGACATGAACACAACAATGGTACAAAAACAGAAGAACAGTGTTTTCTGTGTGGTCTGTGCCAGGATGTTATAATCAAGACGGTTTGGGGTAACTAGTTAGTTGCAAGAGCACTCAGTTGAAAGTCCAGTGTGATATTTGGAATGCATAATTCAGTGAGACCGTTATAGTTCCTGGGCTAAAATCCGTTGCTAGGAAGTGCCTATTTGAGACTGTAATGGACTGAGGACACTAGCCTGTGTGTGCCAGTGATCTGTAGACAGTAGTTACGAGTCATGAGCGGTGAATAAATCGAGTCACCAATCCAAACTGCATCTACAGTCACTCCATACTAGGTGACAATATTATAAACACAGCAAGAAAACTTAAGCCTTATTAGTAGATTGAAATTTTAGTGGTTTTCAGTTTGTTGGTTACACTTCAGAGGAAAGAAGATATTGTAAATACTTTGATGAAATGTGTTAAGAGGAAGTCAATAGAAATGATCAATACTACCAATATCAACTGCTCATATAATAACATCAGTGAAATAAAAACTAAAGAAGTATGTTCACAGCAAGCAAACTCTTTAAGAACATTTTATCACTGAACAACCAAACACATGGACAACAATTATTCCAAAACCAAAAATTGTAATTTTTAGTGCATTTATATGAATTCTGCATTTTCATTTCAAAATAGCACATCTGTTCATGTAAATGATTGGCAATATTTGCTTGCCTTACCAAGGATAGTTCTGTTAACAAATCTACATTGCCTAATATCAAAGTAAACTAATGCCAACTTTTTACATTTGCTTGCTCAATGAGAAATGTTTCTCTTTCATTTACTGGTATCATAAAGAGAACTTAGGTGTAAGACACAAATTATTATACAGGTTTCATACTTTCTTGACATGGCTGTACATGTTCATTTTCCTATGTCAAAAAGAAATGAGAGCAAAGAAATTATTAACGTAACTTCTAGAAACTGTGAGCTCTCTTTCTAATAAATCTGATGTGCATACATAGTAGCATCAGGAAAATCCACATTTGTGAAAAGGTAAAATACTGCTGACAAATAAAACAAAGTAAATAGTGCATAAAATTGAACAATAATATATAATCTAACTATAGAAAATGAAAACACAATTTCAACAAAATTTTGAACTGACACATACATACAGGGTGTTTCACGACTTTAGGGCATAACTGCAGGAGGTGATTTCCTAGGTCTTTGTGATCAAAAAAGTTCATATAAACATGTGTCCGATTTTGGACGGTTACAGAGTTATGACCGTTTTTCATTCCCATACACGCCCTCTGTCAGCTGGCAGGTCGCTATTTTTAGCCAGCTACAGGCAGAGCATTCTCGTTATCTCGACACTTGAGAGCTACCTAAAGGTGTGCTCGGTTGGTATGTCTGGGGTGGTTCACAACCGAGGGGCAGCCTGTGTTGCGGCCGGTGGTGGCATTTTCGAAAATCAGCTTTAAGCACCAATAAATTCAAATTAAAGGTAATTTCACGAAGTTAACTTTACAGTCATACTTTAAATGTATCATGTATTATGCTGGTTTATTATTTTGTTCCGTTTATTGTCAGTAATCGTTACCTTCAATTCTGAGTTTAAAATGGTCATAACTCCATAACCGTCCAAAATGGGACACATGTTTATATGAACTTTTTTGATCACAAAGACCCAGGAAATCACCTCCTGCAGTTATGCCCTAAAGTCGTGAAACACCCTGTATTTACACAGGTATATGATAAGTACATCACTATAATTATATGCCATAGCCTGTAAGTGTACTGGTGGATGTAGGGGGGGAAAGATTTACACATACAAGAAGTTCTGAGAGGAACTAATTGCCTACGTTACTTGATATGACAGAGGTTGTATAGAATAATACAAATCCAAGAATTCTTCTATTGTTGCATGTGTATTCATTGCTGCAATAACATTTTTACTGAGCCGTTGCCTAACAACAAAAGGGGCATATACATATAGACACAGACTGACAGGAGGGATTTATGAAGTATGCCACTGAGATTGCTTTAGTCATTCAAAAGCTGATAGAGGGGTATAAACAGACAGCACTGAGAATGCATAAGCCTTCTTTTATTTGTTCAAAATAAGGAAAGAAAGCTAATAAAATATTGATTTTAAAAGATTTGTGTTCAGCTTCATCCTTCAAATATCTTTACCCCACAGAATGAGCTATCCTATTTTAAGGACTGCTCCAGAACTGTTTACCTCTTAACCCTTTTACTACATATGACAGAATGTTCCATCATGGAACAACGATATTATAATGGTATGACATATCATCATGCATACTGATTTCAATTGTGTAGAACTCCTGGGTATGTAAACTAGAAAGCTAGAACTTTTACCCTTGTAACATTTGGAATTTTGTTGTATTGATGGAAGGACCATGAAACACATACAGTATAATACAGGGTGAATCATATAGAACCGGCCTGATGAATTTGCTAATAATTACGACATAATCCGTGGGCTGTGCTGAGTCGAATGGTGTGCATATGATCCGGCAAGTTGACAGCCCTAATGCTGCAAGGTCAAGGACAATCCAAAAATGTGTCTGCAGTGCACAGGCGACAGTCATGGAGTATACTGTTGAACAGCAAGTGTTTCTAGTGCCTACCTGAAAACGGCGGACACTTTCAACACCTGCTCTGATCACGACACACAATCCAAGATAAGATATGTGTAAATTACTTTAATATCTGTATGGTATATTTTATATTACAGCTCATTTCGTCGGGCCGGTTCTATATGAATCACCCTGTACCTGTTATCTATCCAGTTCTCCACTGCATGTGCTCAGATGGCAGGTTGAGATCATTCAGTGTTTTGAGGTTTCATAAAATAGCACTCAATAATTTGAAGCATGAGCATGGATAAGGGACATTTTTTGGACTTTAACAGAACAAAACCTCAGCAATATGCTGTATATACAATATAATACTAGTTGCAATGTAATGTAATTAGAGTTACACAATGGGGGTAGGTTACACCATAGAAGATAAAATTCTCCATGCAAGTGGTTAATAAGCTAACAAACGTGAACACGAAGGCACTTACTAGTAGATAGACTCCTTAAACGAGTCTCCAATGAGATCATAATTGTTACCCGTATGAAGCAACTTGTTCACACGATGTGCTAAGTCAATGTTCTGCAGATGGTTCCTACATATATCCATAGCTGTTACAAAGAAGAATGTGTCCTTGGGATCCTTGATGCTGAATGTCTGACCTTCAATTGCATCCATTATATCTACTAAGATTGAACTAACGGGTCCTCCTGTAAGTAACATTAATATTTTATATTATTAGCAGTGCTATACATGGGGACCCATGACACATGGAAATCCAGATTGTTATAGTTCACATTAAATTTACATTAAACCCATCTCCTCGCTTTAATATTTCATGTTCTGAATATATTATGCCTTTTTTTAATTAAACTGTTCCCCGTCACATCTTTTGTGTAACTGTAAGGCTCACCCCCCTGAAAGAATGAGCCAAGTTTTAACGCAAATTGACTTCTCAGTGCAGACATGCATAAACAAAGGCTGTTAAATTTATTAAACCATCAATACTATGTGACCTCTAAAAATCATTAAGTTCCTCATTGTATAACACCCTATATGTACATATTGTAACCAAGTCAGTGACCAGTCACAGGGTTGAAACTAATAACTAAGTATATTGGACAGTAATTACTCTTAACTACACATAATTAACAACACTTTTACTACTCTTCAAAATCTTAAAATAACTACAGCACTTTACAATTCTTTCCAGTGCCCTCATCTTCATGTACTCGCTTCTCGACAACGGCCTCCAATATCCAGGACTCTCTTCCATGCTTGATAAGTCCTGTCCTCAATGATTCTCACTTCAGTTTGTCTTGTAAGTTTCTACTGGTCCTCAGCAGCACAGTCATTCTTGATTTCAGGCCCCACAGACATAAATACTTTTAGAAGCTGATTTAATTAATTTGAAGTTGAGAGAGTTGTTCATGGCACAAGAATTTGTGTGTTTATATTTTAATAAAAATAAGACAAAGTAATAGCAACTGCACATTGCATACCTGATATCTTCTTCTACAAGATTCGCCATCTACCAACAGCAAACTGGGAAGTGGATTAAGTTCATCATCAGGTGTACCACAACAGTTTAGTCTGGCATCAACTCATAAGGAATTTCACAATGCCAACAAAATTTATGCTGTTGTCTTATATTAACCTTTAACAGCCAAATGTCAGATATATATGATTCAAGCAGCAATCCAAGTTGGCCGAATGTCAGATATATATGATGGAGAACACGTGTACTCTTTAGGAGTGCTAACAGTTTGACCTTGGGTTTGAAACCAAAACAAACCTATGTGAGGTCATGTCAGTGGTTCATTCCTTAGCTCTGAACAATGAAATCTTTTATCAGGGTACTGGTTTCGATACTATTTATGTTTAGATATGACTGTTTATGACCTGGTCAGCCAAATATAGCCCAGCTTTGTTTCAAGAAGTGATGAGGAAATATTTATCTGTGCTTGCAGATGAGTGCTTCCAGAGGCTAAAAGGAAACGTGACACATTCAAGGATTGGTTTTCGGTGGCGAATTATCAGTCAGGAAGTCAGTGTCGGATTTTCTAATATTTCTTTATCAGTTAGAAAGTCAGTGTCAGACTGGCACTCTTTTCGACTAGCATTATAATTATTTTGCATCAATATTTTGCGAGTATTACTAATAGTTGAGAGTGTCGCTTTGTCAATCAACATAATTTATTCGATTTTGCTAGAAACCCCCCTCCCCCAAGATGATTCTTCAATCGCACAAGCCGAATATCACGGTCAGTGGCGTTTCTCGGGGGGGAGGCCAAAGTTATCAGGGGGTCCAACTGAGTTGATTTGAGGTGAAACATTCACAACACTGGCCAACCAAAGGGAAACAAAGACGTTGTCGTGTGTTTCGCTAAATAAGAAAAGCAGAAGCATGGGTGGGGAACAACTGCCATCTTATTTTTAGCCAAAAATTCCTGCACAATGTAAGCTGTATGCGGTCGTGCATTGTCATGGTGGAGTACCCAGTCGTTCGTGCGCCACTTCTCGGGACGTTTTCTCCTCATGTTCTCCCTCAAACGCCTTAGACCATCACGACAGAACTCTTTATTGACTGTCTGACCAGGAGGGACGAACTCCTTATGAACAATCCCGTCAATATCAAAAAAACAGATCAACATGTACTTAATGTTGCTCTTGACTTGTCGAGCTTTTTTTGGCCAAGGTGAAGAAGGGGTCTTCCACTGCGACGATTGCTGCTTGCTTTCAGGGTCGTAGCCATAAACCCAACTTTCGTCACCAGTGACAACCTTCGAAAGAAAGTTTGGATCCTCTTGAAGCTGTTGCTGAAGTTCCCTGCAGACTTCCAAGCGATGCCGCTTCTGTTCACTTTGCAGCAGTCGTGGCACAAACTTCACCACAATCCTCCTCATATTCAGTTCCTCTGACAAAATTCGTTGACATGTACCATAACTTAGTCCTAAGGTGTTACAGAGGTCTTGGATGGTCAGTCTATGATCTTGCAGATTCAGATCCCTAACTTTCACGACATTTTCTGGTGTTTTGCCTGTTGACGGCTGTCCCGAACAATCGTCATCATCAGTTGATGTTTGGCCATTTTTAAAACATTTATACCAATTGTAAGTTTGTGCCTGGCCTAAACTGTTTTCACCAAAAGCTTGCTTCAACATTTGGTGCGTTTCTGCAGCGGTTTTCCCAAGTTTGAAACAAAACTTTATACAGACACACTGCTCTCTCAGGTCAGCCATCGCAAAGCCGCAGCTTCACGGAAACACAACAATGGAAATACGTTCACCAACAATAAACCCAACCACTCAACTCGATGCCGCTTGCCACACTGATTCAAGAAGGATGTGTGAGGAGACACCTAGCGGTATTTCGATGTACTCATAACCATTCGCGGGCAAAATTCAAATTTCAGAAACTTTTGGATTGCCCCACGTATATAACAAAGACTATATTTTGCATTTCATGACAAAATAATCACAATTAATTTTCGTTTGTAAAAATTGCTCTTTTGAGTAAATGTAGAAAATGTTATTGTCTTTCAGACTGTTTTTAGTTCGTATTTCTATGTTGCACATAACAGAAAATATGTATTTGTTTCTGAAAGTTTGCAATGTTAATGAATTAGAGCGATTTAAATACCAGCCACGGAGGGCTCCCGGCAATTTAAAAGTCCATACGTTAAAGGTTAAGGCTTCAACAAGCTCCTACTCAAGCAAATATCCCTTTTGAGAATTTTTTCATGTGCTACTTCATTATAACTTATTTACACTACAAATTAAGTAAAAGTGTCTAATCTGAAACTTACAATAATTTGATAACATATGAAAAAACAGATACTGTTTGCTGGCGTTACTCACTCTCTTTACAAAATGTGATAAGCAGGAAGTAATAAGTTGCTAATGATGGCTGCACACCAACATGTCTTAACTCAGCTAGTGCTCTGAGTGCATAAGTCTTCACGTGTTTTTGGGGTCCCATGCTACTAATTGCTTCCAACACAGCATTCAGTGTTCCAATATTTGGTGCTATATTCTGCTTTGCCATTGCTGTCAAGAGTTCCTACAAAGAAGATAATCATCAGTGAAATGAATGAATCTGATGGCCATGCATTTGCTCCTATGGCAACCCCAGAGTATTCTTGTCAATGGAGTAGGACAGAATAAGATACTTTCAATGAAACACATCAAGTTCTTTGAGTAATGTGTCCATTACTTTTGTCCAATTTTAACTGGAATTGAATTTCATTGACAGATTTTAGTAAAATTCTCCATTATAAACTACTATGAAAATCCGAGTTAGTTTATTTCATGTAGGTGGACAGATGGAAAGGCAAGCAGACATGAAAAAACTGATACATGCTTTTCGCAAGTCTTGTGAATGAGTCTAAAAATACACCATCAACATTAGAAACAAATGCAAGTACAGAACCGCCTCCTCCGAAGATAATTTATGTATAATTGGCTTAGTGGGGGTGGAGTCCAACTGGGGTCCACTCGGAACGGCCCTCACTGATTGGCCTATTGTAGCCTGCCCCGGGTGATTATGATGATGGAGAATTTGGTGGAATGAAGATTAGCAGGGGAAACCGAAATACTTGGAGAAAACCCACCCCAGCGCCACTTTGCCCACCACAAATCCCACTTGACCAGACTCGGGATCAAACCCTGGCCACCACAGTGGGAAGCCAGCGACTAACCACTTCAGCTACAGTGTGGCCCATTTACATATAAACTAATTAACAAGAAGTTCTGGATAGAACTTCAATACATCTACTTTCCTTCAAATACTTAAAATTATGTATGAGTTAACAAAAATTATAAATTAATAATTATATGACTAATTATTCCTTTCTGACCAAATTTTACTATGAAAAACTCCCATTATATTAAAATTGTCAGATATAACCTCAAAGTTTGGCACTACTGCCATAATTGAAACTGTTCTCTACACATTTCTTGCACAGAATTTGTTTGTATTGTCATGTATAGGGGGGTAGGGGTGAGGAAAATAATGAGTTCTAATTTGACAATTGGATTCATTGGAACTTCAGTTACAATCTCATTTAATTACAATTAATACAGTGCTATCAATGATTTACAGAATTTACAGGTCACCACTGCACACACCTTAGGATGCTCAGTTTTCATCATTCGCCTCCTAGCGACAGATCTCAACATAGAAACTATCAACTATGAAGTCTTCTTGTTGTCAGTCACTTTGTACTCCTCTGTCCTAATCTGTACTCAACTAATCTTCACAATTCACTAAGGACATGCTCCATTCTTGTCCTTGTACACTCAAGTGCTCCTAGCTTCTAAATTCACTTCACCTATAAGCAACCTGCACAGACCTGACAGAACACACAATCGGTATTGTTGATGATGTCATTGCACATGTAGCATGATTCGATAGGTGGAAATGTGTTTACCGAGCTGTTGCCTAGAAAGAGACTGTATAACCCCCATTGTTATATTGTTGTGTGCGTGTAGTACTCAGCAACTGCTGTTTCTGTGGCTTAACAGTTCTTGCATTGAGTAAATATGCCACAATATGTTTACCATCTGTCTTCATACAAAATTTCACATGACCAACTTCAATGATTCATTAGTTATGGCCATCAAACAGAAAGCTAAAAACAGACTCAATGTGGCTTTAATGTTTTTTAACAGCTAAAGGACCGGTCGCATGATATCACACTTTTCGCTTTTAAACATGGCAGACTGGTCGCATGATATCATCATTTTAGGACATGTTAGGTTGCAACACACTATACCTTGCTATTTTGCCACGCAACTGCATAGATACTGAGCCATAAAACTCTGGAATGTTTGCTTAGTATTCAGTAACATGACCTAGCTGTTTTCTTAACCCCCTCTAACAGAGAATGCTTTGCCTGTCTTCAATTTGTTTGTACCAGCCAGTAGTTAGTGGTGGGGTATGAATCAAGGACAAATTCTTCTCCAATGAGCTAGCTTACGTGCCTTGTGAGATGCGTAGTGATGGTGACTCAGACATTGGCAGTGACAGGGGACAACAAAGAATTGTGGCCACAGACAGTAAAAGTGACAATAGCTCCGACAAAAATGCGGGTAGCAAGATTGCGGCGATAGCAAAGAATATATAAAAAAAAATATTCACAAAAATCTAAACCCTGATTTGAAATTGAAATACAAAGCATTTCTGATGAAGGTGGCAAAGGCCTGGGCTACAGACCAGACGGTGGTGGCAGAACCGGCGGCAGACACAGACTTAGTGCAACCAGATCCATCAACTCCCACCCCACGCAGGCCTCACGTGGACCCCCCTGGGCGACTCTCCGGTGATATGTGGAAACATACCCTCATGAAAATTGTGAAGAGTGAACATTCCAAGGGGAAACATCCTTCTAGGCAATGCCGTGTTTGAACAGTTCACAAAAAAAAAGGACTATGACTGCCTACATTTGCACGTGTGTAATGCCACTCCATAAAGGGGAATGTTTCCAGAAATATCACACTCTCAAGCACTTCTAGGTGCATTGGTAAGTGTTCTCCAAAAATTTTAGTTCATAAAATTAATTAGATTTTATATTAATTTTTAAAGTGAACAGTGCACAAGTTACGGTAGTAGGTATAAAAATGCTGGTCCCCAGGGTGATTTAAATATTTAAATCGCTGGTCCACAAAGTGTTAAGACAGATGTGATAATATTGTCACACATCCTGGTAACGCAACAAGAACTTAATGGGTTTCAGATTAGATGAATTGATTTAACTTCACCAGGCAGAACTACAAATAATTATAACCCACTCAAATTACTTTAACTATAAGACCCAACACAAAGTCTTCAACATCTGCTTGCTTGAATGATGTCTGCCTCTCAAAAGCATGCCAGTTTGCTTCTGACTTCACTTCTGTCTTCTTCGTCTGACTTCTGAACTGGCCTCCAGTTATACCTGCAATCTGGCTGGGGTAGCAGACACCTCCTTGAACAGTTTTGGCTGGTTTTCATTTCTGTGGTAACGGTCTGCCTATGTATGCATTTTCATGTGAACGTGTTCGCGATTTTCACCCAGACAATGATGCATTCACTGCTCTTACTGTGGCAGAAATGTGACTACTGAGCCGTTGTCTACCAATGGACGCCCACTATGACTCCAATATTCTGACTCTTAGGTGGCACCTCACAATATGCTGCCCAGTCAAGGCTATCACATACCTCAAGGAACAATGACAGATGTGTATGCAGCAATGGTGCAATTATCATTAGCAAAAGAAAACTGAAGTCTCAATGTGAAACCTACTCCATAAACCTCACATGAAGTCATTCAAAATCAAACCTGAAGCTCTGCAGTGAGAAGCTAGCAACTAGCTGCCTGTGCTATGGCACAGTCTGATGTTATATATGTAATTATATATTAAACTGAGAAACTCATCATCATCAGTAATCTGTCAGGCGACAGGTCCACAGTCTCTTCCAAAACAGTTTCTCCACTTAATGCGATCTTCTGTTTTTGGAAAGAGACTATCCAGGAAAAGTGATAATGTGGTAGTTTTTCCATTTGCTTTCCACATCGCAGTACAACAGCCGTTCAAACCACTCTGGTCACGCCTGTTGCTATACGAACTTGAACCATCTTGAGCATCATTTGCTCTGTGCTTCAAGTCGCTGCTGATGACGCTGCTTCCGACATCAGTTTTTGGTGTCTCTCTTCGTCTGATGCCTACCCTTTGACCTGTCCAGCAAGGGAGGCCCTGCCAGTAGCTACGCTACCGCTGGTATAGCTCTCAGGGTCCTTGGCATACTCAAACCCCCTCACCACGATAAGGTGGAGACACCAAGGAGGGGGACTGAGAAACTGTCACTGAATAAAGTAAGAAATAAACAAAACTGAGACTGAATATTATGTTTAAGTGGTTAGCACTCCTCATCCACATATAGGAAGTCTGATTACTCAATCAGAGACTAGCTATTCTGATTTACAATGGTCTTCCGAAGTCCTTCTAAGCAAATACTAAGACATTAACTTAAAACATGCCACAACCATTTCTGCAACCTTCCGATTACAAATTCACAACCACCCTCTCAATCAACAACAAATGGAAGAAAAGTAAAAGAAAGTGAAGCTATACCTATAACAGGCCGTGAAGGCCCATAGGGATGCGAGACGTTGAGGGTCGCACATTATCTAGACAATCGGCTCAAAGATGGCGGCAAGGTAATGGAAGACAAGTATTATGTTCAAATACTGAATACTGTTGTGGGGTTTGGAGAGTTGGGGGGGGGAGGCAAAGTCTGGTAAGCATGCCCGAGACTCCCCACCCCCATTTCACCCCTCTCTCTTCTGGACCTTTCCAGAAAAGCTGAGGGCTGAATTACTTGCATTAGAACCCAAATGTTCTCAAACTTGTATTGTACATATAAAACCATGGTTGTAAAACAAGGAGAGGACAATCTCAATGCTGGCTTAGAAGTGGTGAAATGTAGACCTGTGTGAAGAAGCAGACATGAAGCAGAGATGGTGCTGAGTCATAAGATAAGTGAGGTGAAAGGTGGAAAGAGAGACAGTTCTCCAGCACACAATGAAATAGCAGTGAACAAAAGATACCTGACATCAAGATCATAAGTAGCGAGATGATCGGTGGATACCCACTAATTGTGCCAAATACTGCTAACCATTACAATATATTTACCTGAATGAGCTGCCATCTATTCTCGTTTCCCTCACGTAAGTAGCAAACAACACGAATAAGTGAATTAAATGCATCCCTGGTGAGATCAATTCCTCTCTCTTGTGTTTCCTTGTAGAGCTTCCAAGCTCGATCAACTTGGTAGAAACGTGTCATTCCCTGCAGCAACGCACAGTATGCAGCCGATCCTGGCGAATCCAATGAATTGAACACCTTCTCAGCCAAAGCATTATCCCTTGAACATTAAAGTAGATGTACTTGTTTGCAACTGTACTAACTTTAACATAAAAACAAATGCTTATTTTCACCTTTTAGCATTAATAGTCTCAAAAACATGATCATATTAATTTTACAGAAAAATGAGCAGTCAGCAGACCTGGGTGTGTCTGCACATTATCTTCCTCCAACATTAGAATAAGCACATTTACAAATCTCTCCAAACCAAGGCACATATCCCTCTCCCCTCCCACCCTCTCACTCCATCTCAAAATCACTATCTGCCTCTCAAAAGAAAAGTCATACTTATTTTTTGAAGTTAAATGAAGGACTGAAGTGTAGCTCATGCACTGTCAGGCTTCTACTGAAATTTCAACATGTACACACTAATATTAGAGTCAATTTTCCCGACCACACAACATATTTTTATTATTATTACACTACATGTTTCGACCTCAAGAGGTCATCCTCAGGTGCACGAACACAGCTGTATAATTACACGCAATCACATTTGTTTTCTCACTTATTCAATCCTGTATCTTATTCAGGCTCACGCTCAATAATATATCAAGCTCTCTCATAAAACACAAGTTAAAATTGTTCTAAATGTCAAAAGTTAGTAGCCATCACGACATCGACCGTAACAGATCCACAACTTCAGAAGACGCAGTAGAACAGCAAGACCTCCAAAGGTGAAAAAGTGCAATCTATAATAAAATTGAACTTTAATTCATGAACGTTTAATCAATAATATAATTAAACTACTCTTAGTGAACTTGACGCAGTGATGAACATAAGTAGGAAGTGACTGAATACAAGCGAAAGTGAAAGCATAACTAGTGACCTGAATTGAAATTCGATTCACAAACTTTAAATTTTTTAAAAATTTTAAATTTAAATTTTAACTTTTGCCATTTAGAACAATTTTAACTTGTGTTTTATGAGAGAGCTTGATATATTATTGAGCGTGAGCCTGAATAAGATACAGGATTGAATAAGTGAGAAAACAAATGTGATTGCGTGTAATTATACAGCTGTGTTCGTGCACCTGAGGATGACCTCTTGAGGTCGAAACATGTAGTGTAATAATAATAAAAATATGTTGTGTGGGCGGTAAAATTGACTCTAATATTGATTAAATACACAACAGGATGCAAGAAACAATTAAAAATGTACACACTAGATTGAATTCATTATATCTCAGTTTGCAAATGTACAAAACATTGTTGGCTTATGTTCATTTTTTCTGTCACTGAATCTGGCTCTCAATAGCTACCTAACTCCATGGAACACAGTCTTCCTTGAGGTGACACTAATATCACTTTGCATTTAAAAAATTCTCCTCTTCCAGCAGAACCCAAAGGTTCATTGCTATGTTCATAAGAGCGCCCAGTGGACTCTATCCTGAGCCAGGTGAATCCAGTCCACACCCTCAAACCCTATTCCCTTGAAATCCATTTTAACAACAGCCCTAATCTATTTTATCTCCTGCTCTCCTGCTAAACCTATGTAATCTGCTATCTTCTTATAGTTTCCAATAAGCCAGATCTATTATAACCCGACATTCTAAATTCCAAATCTCATGTGAATTTTCCAAACAATCAATATATTTGCAGGTGCTGCTCATATCTGGAGGTCACCTCCTTTAACACAACCTGAGGGCATACCATGATGTGTAACTGTGGCACACAGACCCGCTGCTAGCTAATAGCAACAAAATAAGTAATTATACAAAAGCTGTTGCTAAGTAATGGCCTGTAAACAGCAACAGAAGAATGGTGTGTTCTGTACTGTCCATGCCAAAGGCTTCGCATGCAACAGTGGAATGAGTAATGCCACTGCTAAGCAACAACTGCACTGCAACAGAGGAACAGTGTTTTCTATCCAGTCCGTGCCAATACGTTATAAGCAAGACAGTTGGTGAGGAGTTAGTCAGTGAAGAGCTGGTTGGATAGTTAGCAAGGGAGTGAGTGAGTGAGATAACAGCTGGGATTCAGTTGCTGTGAGAAGCTGGTAGCTGAGGCCAGGTACAGTTCAGGAACCCAGAGGAAGGGGAACATCTGCCATTGAAAGCTGTTATCAGAAGACTGGTGAAGACACAGAATGCTGAAAAGACTTAACTGTGTACTCCAGGGAACCACAAAGTGTGTGAATTAGTGATATGGTTATAATTACTTCTAGTCATAGATCTGTAAGAGTTCAATAAATCCAATTACCAATCCAAACCCTGTCTACAGTCACTCTATCATGTGATAGATACTTAACACAGAAATATGCTTCCATAACAGGCAATTCTCTGAAAACTAAAGATCACACATACAGTGTAACTTTGAATGATAAATTTTTATGAACCACAAAAATATGACAAAAATAGTGCTTCTTTCATAAAAGTATGCATTTGACATAGCAAAAGCTCAGCCTGCAATTAAGCATCATAATTTACTGTTAAATAAATTTGTACTGCATGAACTATAAAAAGAGGAGTTCATCTAGCCCCAGTGTGAAAATATTCAAAAGGAACAGTGATAAGGCATGAACCAATATCATAGCTTAGAGAGAGGGACGCGAGCACTGAGAAGAAAGATCAGGAGAACACCAACGTAGCGCTAAAGATAACCTCTGTCATTCATCAAATGCTGTCATGCATCATTTGAACAGGAAATGGGTATGAGGACTAGATTGATTGTCCACACTGTAATAAGGTTTTACAATATTCAAGTACAACCCCATACATGAGAAACTAGCCTAAACTAAAAGTGAACTCAGTGAGCCCCTTACTTCCATGTTTTCCGTTGTTTAGCTTTGTACCAGCCACCATGTCTAAACCACCGCTCTTCAATCATGTCTTCTGGCAATGTATCCTCACAATTGTAAAAACACAGTAATTCTAGAAGTGCCTGCTTTGTTGATTCGGATATACCTGTTGACAAGGAGAAAACTACTACGCCTGCAGTCATAATTATATCTGCTTCAATACAATTATTGAGTTTTTAGACATTATCCATAGTCCTGGTTTTTATTTAAAAGCAACATTTTGGAGACAGAATCCTGACTCTGAGAAGTTGCTTTTAACCTTTTAAGTGTGCAACATTTAAACCTGCACCTGGCACATGGTATTTTTAAATTCTAATTGCACCACACCAGAAAAAACACAAAATGTCACTCCTTATTTATATATCTCAAAAAAAAAAAAAGTATAATAGAGGAATGAATGCCTCATACTTTTAAAAACGTTTTATTATCTTTTGGCCGAAGTGTTTATTTGTGCAATATTAATAAAACTGTTCTATAAAAATAAGTATCTATGGAAAATTTATGAAATAAAAAAATTATGACTTATGTAAAAATGTGACTGTGCCATCCTTTGATGACTGCCTAAGCTACACGTACAATTCCACCCCATATTCCACATCATTCCTAATTCTGGTTCATATATTACTGCATGGACTGAAGGCCTAGAATTTCATTCACAAAAAATGTAGTTTCATCACACACACTCTACACTGGATGGGAGTAGACTGCTTCATTGCTGTAGATCAGGCATCTCCAACTTCAAACAGGTTGTGATTGACTTTTTAGTGTCAAAACTGCCAGTGATCTACCAGCCCCTCCTATCATCATACCTCGCTTTAAGCAAAAACATTGGTAAAAATAAAAGACACGATGTTTGTTGTAAAAGCAACATATATTGAAAGTACAGACTACTTTAATACGTATTTTCCTTTCAAAATCTGAATATAATCATATTATATTACAAGTGAATTTACTTGCTTTTCACATATAATTTCCTTATAGGCCTACAAGATCAACCAAAAATTGTCCCACAATCGACGCGTTGGGCATGCCTGCTGTAGATTATGTTACTTAGTTAGTTATTTAGAGAGGGTGGGTTTCCCCATGGACCGCGACCAGTTTTATCTATTGTGCTTCCCTCTATGATATTCTACCAGTCTCTATACCCTACCGATAAATGGTGCGTACCATCAGTCCCGCCGAGCAAGCGAGTTCGGCCACTTGCTTAGTGGTGTCTATAATGCTTCCTCCATCTATCAGAGGTCTTAGAGACTACTGTTGGGCGGGAAACGTCCTGGAATTTGGCTCAGTGATCCCCTTTGGGGATATGAGGTTCTTTTACGTGCCGTAAAGTTACGACACGGGACACACACCTTAAAGTCCCTCCCAGAGGACTTGTTACCTGAATTTTTCCGCCCTTAAAAATTCGACGACCTCCGCCGGGTATTTGAACCCGCGTACCACGAGTCATGAGGTGGGAACGTTACCTCTAGACTATGGAGGCCACTTTAGATTATGTTACACACCCAACACTATCAAATACAAGTACAGTCAGTTCCAGTCACAGTTAGGCTTCTTTATTCCACAACTCTTAAGCATGGCACAACATGCAGACCACAGTCACATTTCAGAACATTTGTTCTTTAATGATTAAATAAAATAACAGATGATGGATAATATCCAAAAACTTAGTAACTGTATTAATATAACACTGTCACAAACTTTTAGATTTCTTTAAATGTGTGGTAATTATAACCAAGAGAAACCTCTCACACTCATCTGTGACGTCAGACCCACTTCATAGCATAAGGCTGGAACTCATGTGAAATTACATACTGAAAACACAACAGAAATCATGTGAAAAGAAAAGACAAATCAATGCTATAGTTTCTCCAAGTACTTTCAGATGTGCATGATAACTGCAATTCTAATCGCTTCATAATATCTTGTAGTTCAGTAAGTCCATCCATGATTACAATGCTTACTGTTTGGCAAAGACTCCCTTACAGAAAATTCTACATATCTCTGCACTGTTATGACTAATGCAATGGATTTCACAAAGATTTCCCTCAATTCACAAATTGGATTAAAAGAATCTGACAAGTAATTCTGAACATCTGACATGTGTCACATGAAATGACCACTTTTACTGCAATGAAACCTCCTATGCATCTACCTATTACCATGCCCATAAGGAGTCATTCAGCAGGCAAAGGAAGTATTATATTTTAAATTCTACTACCAACTGTCCATACAATATATAATCATCAGCCACATCTTCTAAGCAGGTTTTGACAAATCTGGTCCAAAACTGGCAAACACGCTAAGCTGTACAACCTGGATATACTAATAATTGCAGTTTGAATACCTGTAACAACCACAGTTTTCATACACAAATACAGGATGTCTGTGCACAATTTCTTATAGTAAAACAAAGGCAGAATAACTATATTGTAACATCCCCCCAGTAGCCTTAGTTTCCCATAGTTGAGCTTTGATCCACAGAAAATCTATCAAATACCAAGTGATGCCCAAAACCATATAGAATTCTGACAGAAGTTGTAAAAAAAATGTTAAAATTTCCTTTCAAATGCTTTGATTTACACAGTAAAAGCTAGAAGGAATTATAAACAAATATTTATAATATTCAGAGTTTCATCATGTTGGAATTATCATGCATAACTTACTTCATACTATCATAAATTTTAACATATAGAAAACATTTTTATACAAAATTAAAAGTTTATGAACTATCTTCATGTCATATTTCATATTTCTATCTAGTATTGAACAATCTCTATTGAACAAATGAACTAGATGAGCATTTTGTGCAACAGATGTGTTGTGTACATTCTACTGAAAACAGCCTTAACAAATTATGTGTTATTGTACAAGCTTTCATAACTCTACATTAACAGGTACTAGTGTCACTCATAAGTCTGCAAGGACACTATGTTAATATTATCCTAGTACACACTAAAAAATCCAAAGTGTGGAATAGTCTCCAATGACATGATGTCTGATACAAGTTCCATGAAAATGTATCAATTTATTCAAAACTTACTTGTGGGGGACACAGAGACAGAATAATTCCATAAGACTATCTTCCATTATAAAATAAGTAAAATATCTCCAGCCCCCCAAAATTTATATATATATGCAGTGAAGTTTCCTTGTGCCACAGCAATCTGCCATTGGCAATTTGTAACGTCCTACCATATCATCTCTGTAATTTTGGTCTAGCATCATTAATTCCTCAGAATAACTTACTCTGGCCTTTCTTCTGTAACAGCTGGAACACTCTAATTGCATCTGATACCAGAACATCATCAATAACTTTCTTTAGAGCCTCCTCATCTACCTCACTGTTATCATCATAAACCAGCTGTGGATAAAATGCCTGAACAAAAAGAAAAGAACACTTAAACACAACTCTTCTAGACTAAAATGAAAATCTTGAAATGTTGTGAAGAATTCCTTATGATCTAGTGTGCAAATTAAATATGAGATCACCACATACATAGCATTAATGGCTACAACTTGGCCGTGCCATAGCTCAAGCGGTTAGTCGTTGGTTTCCCACTGTGGTGGCCTGGGTTCAATCCCAGGTCTGGTCAAGTGGGATTTGTGGTGGACAAATTGGCGCTGGGGTGGGTTTTCTCTGAGTACTTCGGTTTCCTCTGCCAATCTTCATTCCACCAAATTCTCCATCATCATAATCACCTGGGGCAGGCTACAAGCCAATCAGTGGCCGCTGTACCGAGTGGACCCAGTTGGACTCCACCCCAACTAAGCGAATTAAAAAAAATGGCTAGAACTTCTGCTTTGTATCAGGGATATCCTCAGCATCAGCTATCCTGACCAAGACTGTTTGTGATTTTCCTCAGCCTTCCAGGTAAATAACAGCATAGTATCCTGAAACAGGTCATAACCACTTCCTTTCCAACACTTCACATTCACCACAGAAGATCCTCTCATTTCTCGTAACATTACATGCAGCACTGTCAACCAACAAGGCAATAAAAAATGGAGACAAAATTTTCTAGTGCAAGGACTCCACAATTAGTAGAATCTGCACTTCCCTTTTTTTTACCTTCTTGTTAAAATTCATACTTGAGTTTACATTTCTGCATACAATAAATATTGCCGCCGCCACCACCACCACCATCAAAACTGAGGCAAGTAACCAAACCCCTCCCCCTCAGAAGGAATCTCATCATCTTCTCCTGGGATATCCCACATCTCTGTGACCACTGGGTTTGTATTCTAAATTCTTTGAGATATCCTATTTTATCATAATACCAAATGTTTGACTCTTTCCAAGTTAAACATGTCCAAATCGTTATGAATCTTACTGTTGCACATGATTGTAAAGGCTGTGTCCAAATACTTATCATAGGAATTTCTTTTCTATAGTTTCAGTTTTTCTTCTGTCAGCTGTACTGAGGGCCAAGTATTCATATTTATGTGATTAAACTTTGTAACTTTAAAAATTCTACATTTCTCTTATAGTTGTTGTTCTGAAGGTTCTATTTATTGCGACACATATGTATTTAAATTTATGCATTGTGTTATTTAATTCCTTAGTACAACTGTTGAATACCTCACAGATCAAGTAGTTAAAATGTGCTGCTTGTTCAGACCACAATAAAAGTGTTAATGAAAATCATTATGATGCCCATTTTGATCAAAAAGATGGGATGCAATTGTGAGTGTGGGAGGGGGGGGGTCTCTTATGCATGAATGTGTGTATATAACTGCTCCATTTATTGGTGTACTTAAAAATTTAATTGTACTTTGCAGACACCTGATAGCACAGTATTCTTAAAACCCTTGTAAGTATCAAAACAGTTCTTACTCTTCCTTTAAAACTGTTCGTACATTTTCAATTTTTGGGAGCTGGAAATTATATACATGACCCAAATAAGACACCATTGATTTTCGGGGCTTCACAGTTCACTATCTTTCTGTTCATACAATATTTTGCCATTTGCAGCACATCATGGATATCCCAAAGCCAATCAAATGTACATGTCAATACATCCAAATTGAAGTAAAGTTTGGGAACATACTGTACACGAACGTGCAGGTGCTACTTAACTCAATTTCATTGCACATAATGATACACATACTTATACACGTGATAAAGTAAGCATGTATGTGTGTGTGTATATATATATATATATATATATATATATGTCCCTCTAAGAAAGTAATTACCTGGATTGGAGGGTATGCAACTTTGTGTTGAAAAAGTTCTGAGTTCTGAGCTCGGATCCAGTGAGCTGCTTTCCGTCCAGATTCTTTGGACAAGGCAAATGACCTCTTTGCAACATTAGATATGGGAGTTAAATAAGGATCATCATGATACTTATAATGAGGAGCTGTTGGGTCAGACTTTACTGTGCTAGCCAATGCCTGTATAAAGATATGAAAATTGAAGGAATAATACAAACAACACAAACAGTTTAATTACATAAGTAGATAAATGCAAAAAAAAATCAGTGTTTTATATCACTTCTCACCAGCCCACCACAGTTTAGTTTGTGTGTGTATATATACACACACACACAAACTATATATACATATATATAGGAAATCATATACCCATTCATCACTTTATAAACATTCAATAACAAATATATTTTTGAATATAGTATAATCTCCATTATCCAGCATGTGTGGGAAATGGGATTTGCCAGTTACACGGAGCAGCTTACTGAATGTGAAAAACTCTTATAGGCACCCAATTCGATGTCAAAACAAGATGTTTTTGCTTTAATTCTTTTGTGAGAGTCTTCCTAGGTGGCATGGAAAATTCATGGATGAAAGCATTCAGGTACACATACTGCAACTAGCCTCTGCTGTACTGCCACCTGCATGAGTGGGGATGATGATCAGTGTTACCAGTGGTGGCTGGAAGAACTATTGTATGATGCATGAACATATACACACTACAAATCTGTTTTTGAATAACTTTATAAAAGTGATAAATTTTCCTTTAAATTTTGCTGGTTGCAAGAAAATTCTGAATTCTTGGTATTGAATAACCAGGGGTGTCCCACCGAGTGCTTTTATCAATTCAGCGGGAATTAATTTGTACTTGGGAAGCCCAAGGCTCAGATATAAAGCCAGAGACCAACTATATTGACTGAGGTTTCTCATAGCTTTCCTCAGTCCTTCCAGAAAAATATTGGGGCAGTACTTTAAAATGGGCTAGTACCATTTCCTCTCCAACTTAACATTATCTTCCAATCTGACATGTCAACTAAGATGGCTCTATGAAGCGAAACGCGTAGTGACATTGTATTCTAGGCCAATAAAACTCAGTTATACACCATAAAGTGTGAGTGAGTTATTTGATGAACTGTTGTGTTTCACAGGAATTAATATGAAAATGCATATATACTGTAAACATGCAACAGGATGCATTCCATAAAGATCAACTAAGCAGTTTCATGATAATTAATGAAGTAACTTATAAAAACGCTGAAAATAATATAGCAATTTCCCACAATACACCATACAAACTCTTGATTTTTACCATCATCACCAAAAAAATGTCATTAACTGAGCTAAGTAACTAGCTTTACTGTGTCAGTATACAAAACATTGGAATAGAACAGGCATATGCAACTGGTCATCATACTGTAATATCATACAAAATATGGATGATAAAATAGATCCAGGCTATCGTCATCCATCTTTACTAACTAACTGCATGTGAAATTGACTGGTAACTGAACAAATAACTTATTTAATCCACATATTAATTGTAACATTAGTCTCAACACAAAGAAGCATATAAATTAAGTAAAAACATCCACCTTGAAACAAGTTAAATATTTAAATGTGATACTTTATGACTGGAAGCTAAATAATTTTATACTTACAGATTAGTATTTTTTACCTTAAGTATATCTGTTGGGCTTCTATGGATTCTTTTTGGTATGATTATATCCTGACCTCTGGTTGAAGAGTACTGTTTAATAACACCCAGAATGTTCAACTGCCTTCTGTTCTGAGATCTAATGAGAAAGGAACTTAAGTTCATTTCAAAATGCTGCAGTATATCTCCAAAATAAAATACATTATCATAGACCTATCATTATATATAATATATATATTATATATAATTACATCATTAAAATTCCTTCGAAATTACACATACATACAAAAGTAACTAAAATTACAACACAGTAAAAATATGTTTATAAGAAAATTAATATGTTAAGTAAATTGTTATATAAATTAGTTTCACATATGTGGATACATAGTCAAACATTGAGGTTATGTTTGATCATTTTGTAATGGCAGAACGCATGCACAAGAACAGATTAACACACTGCACAATTATTAATTTGTAATTTATATCGGTTTCTATATCAGTAGGTACATTTACATACCGACAGGCTTCACAGGAACTTACCGCAACTCCTTCAATACGTTCACCAGTCAACTAGTACCTACCTTAAACCTACATGTAAGGTGTTGAGTGCATTCATGGTTCAGACTATAAGGTATGCTTCAGCTTTATGTCTCGTTGTCTACAATCATATAATTATTTATGAACACCATGAGCATTTAAATTCCGAAACAGAAACCCCATTACTCAATTTCTTCCGATCTCTCCTACGCCACTGCAACCACTAGAACGCACTAGAACACTAGAAGTCTCCGACACATTCTTCTGTTTTCACTAAACAGTAGGTGCAATGTCTACATTTTTACACTGATTCTAAATTTTTTTTTGCTAAAGGAATGTTAAAAGTAATCAATGATACAGCCACTAATTAGACGTTTTATATTTTAACCTTTATGTTTTGAGTCGAAGCCCCAGTGTGTTTAGGATTATTCAATAAAATAAGCAGCACTAATTTGGTCACTATCTCTTATGTTCAACGTTGGTTAAGCTGGACCGCAACGTTTTGTTTTATGTAGCAGACAGATATGTTGCAGACGACTAGAAGTACAGATTTAAACGCTATACAAAACGAAGTGACTTTGTGTACTAAAGCGGACAGTGGGTTTGTAGTGGCGATGATAGATAGTAAAACTCCAGAATGAGTCTTGATAGTTTATAAACCATATTTCAATTTGTGTTTATTTCGAAGCTATGAAATGTATACTGATATTTGATCATTTAAATGATGTATTGTATGCCAAGTACAACAAGAAATTTTCGAAACATGCCAGAAAATTAAGTCGAGAACAAGGGTTTATATCGGATGGAAGGGTATGTGGATATGACGGTGAACTGTGAAAATTATTTACGTTGGCATAAAAGTTGCTTTATTATTCTGAATGTCATATCTTCTTTATCTTCAGGATGATGATGAGCTTAGCTCAAATTTTCTGATACAGCATTTTTCTCCAATTGTCACTTCCCAGCAGCTCATGAATTGTCAGTTTGGCAATTCTTACACGTCAGTCCAATGTAAAGATGGCACCAATATAGTTTTCAATCAGGTAAGTTTCCAGCAAGACGAAAATAAAAGAATTGAAAGGTGAATTATTTGGTTGTTTAAAATATCAGTTATTAACTGCATATTGATATCTATGGGTATTATTTGACTGAGGGCCAGATTTTGTGTGGCAAAGAGAAGGTTCAACCAAATTAGGCGACACAAGTTGGTGGGAAAGAGTAAGCATGCTAGTGAACACACCAATTGTTGGAGGCAGATTTTCAATATTAAAAAGGATTATAATGGTTGACAGCTACAAGGCATAATAAGTAATTCTGAAATAAGTAATTTTGAGCCCATTTTGATCAAGTGACTTAGCCATTACATTAAGTATACTAATGTTTCATTTAATTATTATATATGAACTATACTGGAACTTTTGTAAGTATATTTTCACAGTATGGTGACAGGCTATATTATATACATTACAATGGCTTGTTTTAGGTCTAGTAACCCTAAGAAACATGAATTCCATAATGGGTTAGGATATGTGGCTGGGTTAAAATGGTTTATGTGAAGTCCAGTAACTGTTAATAAGCCTTAGGTTAAAGCACAGGTATACATGCTCACTACACAGTGAAGAGTTCCTTCAAATGTATCATTATTTGGTCAGAAATAAAAGCATTTGCATTATGTTCTTTTTCAGTACATGGGGTATTTGTTTGTTCAAATTGGCCTAAATGATGTAAACTGGCTCCAGCGGACACTTGGGATTTTCATTACAGTTGTGAAACATCTGTGTGGACCAAATGTTTCTATGTGAGTTGATTTAAGTACTAATATGTATTGCATGTAGTGCTCACAGTGTTCGAGACTGGTGCCTGAAATCTGAATTCATGAAGGAGACGCACTGATTGATTCTAGGATCATTTACTATAATATTTAGGGCTGCGCCATAGCTCAAGCGGTTAGTCGCTGGCTTCCCACTGTGGCAACCTGGATTCAATCGCGGGTCTAGTCAAGTGGGATTTGTGGTGGACAAAGTGGCACTGGGGCAGGTTTTCTCCAAGTACTTCGGTTTCCCCTGCCAATCTTCATTCCACCATTGCTCCACAATCACCCTCACCTATCATCTGGGGCTGGTACAATAGGCCAGAAGTGGCCACAGTACAAGGGACTTAGTCCCACCCCACTAGCAATAAAAAAATAGTATAATATTTCAGTTACATAGATTATTCAATCACATATAATATAAAGAGATAACTGTAAATGAACACAGTGAGGATGATTAGGAGGTAACTGTGGTCTATTTCAAGGCACAGTCCCAGCAGTCAGCTGGAGAGACGTGAAAACCAAGAAAAACCCATCAGGAAAATCGCTAATTAGAGCAAAATTTTGGACCCCCCCCCACCCCAAATGCAGGTCTAGAGCCTTATTTCTTGGCTGTTGTTAATTTGGCACATAATGCAAACTCAAAGATATTTTGCTGCAGATTATATAAACTTATATAAGATTTGTTATAACAGATGTTACTGACATGAGTATAAACAACTTTCTTGACAACTCTACAAGGTAAGTGAAAGGCAAATTTCTGTATCAGTATATTATTCTTGTCCATTTATTAATCCGGGGCATGCACAGTTGGTTGAGGTACTTGCTACAAGCCAGAAGGTCGTGGGTACGGTCCCAATGTGGTGGATTTTTTCAATTTACCTAATCCTTCCAGCCACACTATGGACCTGGGGTCAACTCAGCCTCTAACAGAAAGGGGTACCCGGAGTCTTCCTGGGGCATAAAGAGTGGCCGGTGCTTAAGGCTGACAAACTTACCGCCATCTGTAAGCCAATTGTCTAGAGAAAATATGGGAGCCTCAATGTCTCACAACCCTATGGGCCTTCACGCCTGTTACAGGGATAGCCTTTCTTTATTAATCCTCTGTTCATTGTTTTTAGTGTATAAGAACTTCATAATGCATGAGCTGCAGGGTACACTTAGTAGTTAGTCCTATACAGATCTGTACTTGCAGATGTCAGGATGTAATCACTGTCTGTCTGTACCTGTCATTGTGAAAAGTATATAAAGTTGCCATTCTCAAAAACAGTTCCTTAGCATACATTTACATATTCCTTCATGCTCAGGAATGAGCAATCACATGTCTAGGTAATGACTGAAAATTTGGTTCCTTATAATTTTCCATTTCATGCACCATAAACAGAAGAAACATTTTGTGTGATCAGCATCATACCATACATTCTTAAATCTTCACCGTGGGATTTCTTCCACATGTGGGGGCAGTTGCATTTGCGCCCAACGCTGGGAGTTGTTCTTAGTTTATTTTAACACTTTCTCAATTGTATACGTTAAATTGTTGAATGGGAAGATGATTGTAAGTAATGATTGATGCAGAAACAGTCATGGCTTGTTCTAGATGCTGTCCTACTGGAGGCAGAGATGAAAACCACAAAAAACCCTAATTCAGGATAACCAGCCTCCAGGCAGAGATTGAGGCCATGACGACCTGATATACAAGTGTAACAAGAATCCTAACCACTGAATTATAACATATGTTGAATATGAGAGAGTTAAAAAAATTACTCTTAAAAATTTTAGTATAAAGTTTACATTTGCTGTTTATGTACCGTTTAGTATCTTTTTGTTCATGTGGTAAAAAATTAGACTCGTGAGAATGTCATATAGTAGAGCCTACATTTGGCATAGAACATATCCATCCTTCCATCCTAAATTAAGCATTTGTAAGATATTAGACATATCCTCCTGTGTTGAAGTGTCAGTACTATGGCAATGTTCAAATCTATCTCTTAAGTTCTTTTTACAGACTTAAGAAGAACAAAAGTAATGCCTTGCTGCTGTCACGTCTTCTTGACACGTGGATGCAGTTGCAGGACAATGACCAAGCCTTCCTGCTTGAAGCTATTGAACAGCTGATGGTGAACGTTGATCTTACAGCAGCATCACTTAAAGCCCTCCAGGATGCTGTTGACAAACTGAAAACCGTTACAGAATTTTCACGAATTCATGCCATGCTACTTGTTGAGAACAAATTTCTCTCTCTGTATTCCAGGTGAAGAAACAGTTCAGACTACTTCTATTTCTGTGAATTTGTAATTCTGTATTTCAGCATCCTGTTGCACATATCTAATTAAACATATGTGTATTTAGTCTGCCAGTAATGCAACAATCATTAAAATATTCACCATTCAACAACAACAACACGACATGTTTCGGCCACAGGTAGCCATCCTCAGGTGTTTCAATGCATCTAAACTGTTACACTGTTTTGATTTAAGTCGACTGCAATGCACAATTTCAGTGCGCATCAAAACAGTGTAACAGTTTAGACACCTCAAAGCACCTGAGGATGGCCATCTGTGGCTGAAACATGTTGTGTTGGTGTTGAATGGTGAATATTTTAATGATTGTTCCATTATTGACAGACTAAATACATAGATGTTTAATTCTGTGAATCTGGTTTGCTGCTTTACATTTTCAGTTTAGTTTACACTTTCTTTTCAACAACAATTGACTCTGAAGTTCTGTAGACATATATGTGATCATTATTATATTAACTCTTACCCATCACATGAAATATTTCTGCCTACTCTGATTTGGTTTGTGTAAAACTGTGAAGAACCCCTTTCTTCATTCTCTCTCCTGGCCACATAGAGAACATATCAAGGTCAATGTAAATATCAGTAAATAGTTAAAAATATTATGAACAAAGTTTCTTTCTTACTTATTACTTAATTCTATTTGGAATAAGGAAGAATTGGCTGATCAGTGAAAGGAATCTGTTATTGTACCAATTCACAAGAAGGGCAATGAAATTGACTGTAGTAAGTATCATGGGATATCACTGCTCTTAACTCATACAGAATTTTATCCAATATCCCTCTCTCAAGGTTAAATCATATAGATGAAATATGAAATTAGTGGGGATCATCAATGTGGGTTTTGATGTAACATAACAACTACTGATCGGACTGTTTACATTGCAGCCATTTGTGTCCCATTGGGTGTGCCGTACCACTAGAAGCACAAAACCAAGAGAGCGGCACACCCAATGGGACACAATACAGAAGATAGGAAGAAAACATCCTACATCATGAAAATTAATGATATCAACAACATGTCTTAACACTTTGCGGACCGGTGGCATATTTTTATGCCCACTGTTTTTAAACGTGGTGGACCGGTGACATATTATTATGATTTTAGGACACATTATGTTGAAACACACTATACCTTGCACTGGCGCCAGGCAGACTCATGACTGGTGCGTGATAGACCTCTTGAATGATTGCTTCATAGTCAGTAACATGAGCCCGCTGTTTATGACCCAACTGTTTTCCTTTCCCACTCCAAAAGAAAATGTCTTTGTTCATCTTCCAGCTGCATGCACCAGGCAGGAAGTTACTAGTGCAAAATGGATCAAGGTTGGAAGAGGTTGAGGTCCAAACGTTTTCTCGGAGAACAAGAAATATCTGACTTGTTCTCCGATGAGCTATCTGACATCCCTTGTGAGTCTGCTCACAATCTGATAGTGAGTGTGGCAGGGGCAAACAAAAAATTGTGGCCACAGACAGTGAAAGTGAGAGTGAGAGTGACAGTAACTCTGACGAAAGTGTGGGTAGCAACATTGCGGGGACAGCCACATGAGGAAAAGTAGACAAAACGCCTGCTTTGGGACAGTTTACTGGAAATCCAGGGGTGAAGCAAATTCCATCTGACCCAAATCCACAATTCACAATTCGAGCATGGTTGATGTTCAAAGGAGGCATGGACAGGTAAAGAAGCCTATTTGTATTTCTGAGTATAATATGTTCATGAATGGAGTTGATAGAGCCAATCAGTACTTGGCCTATCATTCTCTTCCTCGGAAAACAGTAAAGTGGACAAAGAAAGTTGCGTTGTGGCTTATAAATTGTGCCATTTTCAATTCATTTTTGGTTTTCAAAAATCTAAACCCTCATTGAAAATTGAAATACAAGGCATTTCTGCTGAATGTGGCAAAAGCCTGGGCTACAGACCAGACGGTGGTGGCAGAACCGGCGGCAGACACAGACTTAGTGCAACCAGGTCCATCAACTCCCACCCCACACAGGCCTCATGTGGACCCCCCTGGGCGACTCTCGGGTGATATGCGGAAACATACCCTCGTGAAAACTGTGAAGAGTGAACATGCCAAGGGGAAGCAGCCTTCTAGGCGATGCTGTGTTTGCACAGTACACAACAAAAGGAGTATGATTGTATACATGTGCAAGTTCTGTGTAATGCCACTTCACAAAGGGGAATGTTTCCAGAAATATTTAAATTGCCGGCCCATGAAGTGTTAAGCATACTATTTGACCACGTACACAGTGCAGTAGACACCTTATAAGTGTGTTGCCTGAAGGTGGCCCTATGAAGCTGAAACATGTAGCATAAACACTGAATGTACATATTAATGACACTTTAAACATTTAACGAGCATTTTAATGAATTAAATGTCATATAGTATCATTTCGAATTTAATTTGTCACATTATAGATGGAAAACAAGACTACAAATGATTTAATTTTGCCAGTGGTTCTGTATGGATGTGAAACTTGGTCTCTGACATTAAAGGAGGAACATAGACTGAGGGTGTTTGAGAAAGGGTGCTGAGGAGAATATTTGGACCAAAGAGAGATGAAGTGATAGGAGGTTGGAGGAAATTGCAGAATGAGCTTCATGACTTGTACTCTTCGCAAGTATAATTAGAACGATCAAGTCATGGAGTATGGGATGGGCAGGGCATGTATCACGAATGGGCTGAAGAAGAATGCATATAGGATACTGGTGGGAAAGCCAGAAGGAAAGAGACCACTAGGTAGACCAAGATGTAGGTGGGTGGATAATGTTAATGTGGATCTTACGGAGATAGGATGGGGTGCTTTGGACTAGATTTATCTGGCTGAGGATACGGACCAGTGGAGGGCTCTTGTGAACACTGTAATGAACCTTTGGGTTCCATAAAATGCTGGAAAGTTCTTTAATAGTTGCACAACTGGCAGCTTCTCAAGAAGGGCTCAGCTCCATGAAATTAGTTAGTTCTTTCTTACAGCATAAACACATGAAATCTGTAATGTCAGAAATCTCATGACAGTGAAGGTACAGGCATTAATATCCAAATACTATTTTACTGAAATGCCTAAAAACCCAATAAAACATTTTCTGCTTTATAACACATTTTACCCATTTCCAATATTTATATGAGGAGACTGAGAACATTACACAGCAAATCTTATGGCAAATATATGATATAGATTTCTAATTTTGTGTAATATTTATCTTCAGCCGAGGTGCACAAGAATTATCAGCAGGAGATATCATGTTCTTAAGTTTGATGTGTGAAGCATTTTACCTTGCCCCTGCTGATACCAGCCTTGTTGAGAGCACAGAAAGTGAAGATGCCGATGAATCGAGTGGAGATGAATTCTATAGTCCACAGTCAAGTCCCCAGGGTAGCCCTTTTCAAACGAGGAGGGAATATTCAAGGCCCACAGAAGACAGCAGCCAAGTGGAATTGCATTCGTCACCCATCAGATTTCTGGATATCAGTGAGGCTGATGGTATTGTCAGTCAGGTAGTGCTTCTGATGGGCAGTGGCATAACATATAATCCTCATGTGGTACATATCTGCCCTTTGGATGAAGGAGTTCATTTACTACTGATGTTTGAGGTAACTGAAACATTTTGCTTCAAAACTTTGTCAATTACAATTCAGCACATTAAACTATATATACTCTTGACAACATAGAATTCATATCTTAAATTAATAACACTTTTTCTTTGAAAATACAGTCATATGAGATTATTTCAAAATCTGGTAATACACTGAATTGTTGACAAAATAAACACCAGCTTAACAAAATATTTGCGAGTGTATAAATTGTTCTCTAATTCCTTTTTAGAATTTTTCTATATAGTTTTTTCATTTAATGTAAGTCCTCCTCAACTCCTTACCATGTGACTGAATAATGATACAGGCAATGAAAGATAGGGGAATATTATGTTAAATTCATATACTTAGGAAAGAAGCATAATGACTGTGAATTCAATGAAGTATTAACAGAATGTCAGTTTGTCTCTGCAAAGTAGCTGACACAAAATATGGAAACACAGTGTTGTGTTTATATGCATGGTAATGTGAACTCAATGTGAAGTATGACTGTATCTTTTTTTGATAGTTGGTGCCAACATGACACTAAGACAAATCACTGTAATAGGCATAAGAACATCATATTATTTCAGTGTAAAATCTGACATTCTCATGACAATTAATGAAATCTCAGACAGCTCCATCTATACAGAACAGAACATTAACCTAATATTGAAATGTTTCCAGGTAGAGTTACAGATGTTGGCTGTTGTTTAAATAAATAGGAATTAAAAAAAAATCTGTTAATAAAGTGACAACTAATTACTTGAAGAGAGAGCCAAGTCCCAGTATGTTGCAAATACCTCAGGCAATGCACAGTGATCAACACAGTACTCATACAGTATAACTTCAGATTTCTATTCTATATTGACAAGGCTAATTGCCCAAGGTCACTTCATTGTATTATGGCTAACTGAACAGACAGACATAGACTAAGTTAACTGTTCGCTTTAAGAATGTCTGTAATCTGTTTACTAAATAAATACAACATGAACTGGGTCATAAATAATGTTATTTTGGAATTACAGATTGGAAATGTTATGGTGTCTTCTGGATTGTATGAGGTATTTCATTATCTTAATGTGCTTCAAAGTGTTCGTTTACAAAGAGAAATGGATGAAGTGAAACACACATTTGATAATCTTGAAAGTGGCATCAAGAAAGTGTTTGAAGGTTTGAAGAAAATCCGCCACATAAGACCAGAAGTTGAAAACTGCCAGCGTAAACTTCACTCTAAATGGGACTTCATGCGGAAAAAATATCTTGAATACATAAAAACAACAGACTCTGAATGCTTGTTGCGGGTTGAAGCAAGTACAGCACCCTTCATGCAGGATCTTAAAGAACTGTTGCAGTTGACATGTTTTGACAACAAAATGATCGACATAGGCAGGGATGCTGTGCTGGCTGTAGCTAGCACAGTGAAGCATCGCCTGTCTGATTTCAGCAGCTTTCTCAAGGTCAAGGCTTTGCGCAACTTTACCCTTGGATCATATCCTTTACTGACACTAAATTGATTACTAACTTTCTACAAACAATAAGAATATACTCTCATGTGCAAATTCTTCTTGTTCTTGATTATTTTTACACATTTTCTTTTTAATTTGCACCACTTGTAAAATTTTCTGATTACTTATAAAACCAAACTATATCATATACATACACATTTGTGATCCTATGTCTCCACCCTTTCCATTTCTATTCTATGGCCCTTCACATTCTACAGTCTGTTGTATGGGCTTGGTGGGGAGGGGGAGTAAAGAACAAACCTTCACTGTGCTGGACCAATGCATTGGTACCACATATGAGACTACACAGTTCCATGAACCAGAAGACAACTTCCAGACATTACCATGAAGGTGATGCCATGATTGTGTGTTTCAAATAACATAATTTTGGATTACCCGCAATTTTTGTCAAAGCCTCCCCCCATTAACCTGAAATATCAAGATGTATAGTATTTAACTATAGAAAACAGCATTAATGCCAATTCAAGTGGAAAATCTGCTCTAGTTCTCTAATACAGAAGTGGCATTATAATGAGTGTTTACTTTCCAACACAAAAATAGCATGATAATGGCGATGATGACCTTCAGAGAATCTTAAGGTTCTTCTACTTAGGGTTTATACCACTTTCGCACATTCCTCATCCTCATGTTCCAGATTTTTTGGTCATGCAAGTGAAATTCATTCCTTCCACCAATTTGTATTTTTTTAACCACCATGTTTTCAGTCACCTCTTCATTTTTCCAATTTGTGTCCACTGCCAATATTTTAAAATTGGAATCTCAACAGAGAGCATTTGGCTGTGGGCCAGCACATGTAAGAGTAAAAACATTCGAGCTGTGTATCTTGCAAACCACGAACTTATGCATATATCGGCATACATACATACATACATCAGCATTTCAGAGTATTCATAAGTGTGCAACTGGCACTGAATGTAAAACTTGTCAAACAACAGTCACAAGACAATCACAGATAAAATCGCAGAGACATCAATTTGACTATAGTTAAAATCTAAACTGAATACCTCAATTAAATAGATACAATGGTACACATACAATTACACCTACAATATAATTAACAATGCATAATAATTCTCCTTTCTACTCATATATATACATATGCATGCAATGAAGAACTATAGTTGTCACATATTTAGATATAAATTGCACAGTAATATAATGAAATATACCTAAATAAACATATTACAATAAAACAAAAATTCATCAACTGAATAAAACGAGTTATTGATTAATATTTCTTTTAGTTTTCCTAGAAAAAGTTTCCTGTCTTGTACCAAATCTCTTACATAGAGAGGCAAACTGTTGAAAATTTTAACACACATAATAAACTCCTTTTTGCCTTACTGCTAAATGTGACTGCAATACGTGTAGATTCCCTCTATGTCTTGTGGTCTTATCATAGATTGCATCATTAAAAATAAAATACTCAACATTACTTATCATAAAAATCATCAGAGATAATATATATTGGAAGGCCAATGTTAATACGTTAAGTTTTCTTTAATACCGTCCTGCACGTATCCCTTTGTTTCAATCCCACCATCACCCTAACAGTTCTCTTCTGTAAGAGAAAAATCTTCTTAGAATCTGGTGAGTTACCCCAGAAAACTATCCCATACCTTATGACTGAATGAAAATATGCATGATATATCATCCTGAGTATTTCAGTATTACTGCACAACTTCATATTTCTTAATGCAAAGCATGCCTTGTCCAATCTGGGTAACATTACTTTAATGTGTCTTTTCCAGTTTAAAAACTTATCTATTTCAAGGCCAAAAAATTTGATATTCATTGCATCATATAATACCTAATTTTTATACTGCAATTGCATTGGCTTATTTCCATGATTAATTGTTTCAAATTTTAACACTTTAGTTTTCTTCATATTTAAAGTCAGGCCATTACTTGTAAACCAAAGGTTTAAGGAATTTAACACATGTCTGAACTTTGTTCGGATATCCTGGATATTATCACCTGATACTGATACACTTTTATCAACTGCATACAACAATAACTTGATATCAGTATTTAGGCCTAGTGATAAATCATTAATATATGATAGAGGCAGCAAGGGACCCAATATAAACCCCTGTGGCACTCCATATTTAACAGTTTTTCAACCTGGACAAATTTTCCCTTTCTCACTATTGTACAATTCAACTCTTTGTTTCCTACCCTCCAGAAAGGACTTAATCCACATTATGGTTTTACTACAAATACCATAGACAACCAATTTGCTCAGAAGAATGTCATGAATGACACCATCAAACGCCTTTGTTAGATCACAAAAAAAATCCTAATATTTGTCTACGCTGATATAAGGTTTTTAAGACATGATCAGTTAAGGTGTAGATCACTGTTTCCATATTCCTATTTTCCCTAAAGCCAAACTGTTCAGATTTAATTATATTATTTGTATTTATATGCTGCTTTATGTATAATATATACATTCAGAAAAGTGAAAATGTTTCATTCTATAAGTGTATGTGTGTATATATTATGAAAACTGATGCTACAGAAAATTGAAGTCTATGAAATGAAATGCACATTGTATACATATTGTATTTTGTAATAATGTATGAGGTGTCATTAAATAAGGTGAATTTACATTTTTATGGACCCATATATAAGGGGTGGGCCTTGTTGGCCCTTGAACCACGACAACAGTGATCTATTGATATTCACTGAATGAATGTATAAGGGGTGGGCCTTCTTGGCCCTTGCACCATGACCACAGTGATCTGTTGATATTCACTGTATGAGTGTATAAGGGGTGGGCCTTCTTGGCCCTTGCACCATGACCACAGTGATCTGTTGATATTCACTGTATGAGTGTATAAGGGGTGGGCCTTCTTGGCCCTTGCACCATGACCACAGTGATCTGTTGATATTCACTGTATGAGTGTATAAGGGGTGGGCCTTCTTGGCCCTTGCACCATGACCACAGTGATCTGTTGATATTCACTGTATGAGTGTATAAGGGGTGGGCCTTCTTGGCCCTTGCACCATGACCACAGTGATCTGTTGATATTCACTGTATGAGTGTATAAGGGGTGGGCCTTCTTGGCCCTTGCACCATGACCACAGTGATCTGTTGATATTCACTGTATGAGTGTATAAGGGGTGGGCCTTCTTGGCCCTTGCACCATGACCACAGTGATCTGTTGATATTCACTGTATGAGTGTATAAGGGGTGGGCCTTCTTGGCCCTTGCACCATGACCACAGTGATCTGTTGATATTCACTGTATGAGTGTATAAGGGGTGGGCCTTCTTGGCCCTTGCACCATGACCACAGTGATCTGTTGATATTCACTGTATGAGTGTATAAGGGGTGGGCCTTCTTGGCCCTTGCACCATGACCACAGTGATCTGTTGATATTCACTGTATGAGTGTATAAGGGGTGGGCCTTCTTGGCCCTTGCACCATGACCACAGTGATCTGTTGATATTCACTGTATGAGTGTATAAGGGGTGGGCCTTCTTGGCCCTTGCACCATGACCACAGTGATCTGTTGATATTCACTGTATGAGTGTATAAGGGGTGGGCCTTCTTGGCCCTTGCACCATGACCACAGTGATCTGTTGATATTCACTGTATGAGTGTATAAGGGGTGGGCCTTCTTGGCCCTTGCACCATGACCACAGTGATCTGTTGATATTCACTGTATGAGTGTATAAGGGGTGGGCCTTCTTGGCCCTTGCACCATGACCACAGTGATCTGTTGATATTCACTGTATGAGTGTATAAGGGGTGGGCCTTCTTGGCCCTTGCACCATGACCACAGTGATCTGTTGATATTCACTGTATGAGTGTATAAGGGGTGGGCCTTCTTGGCCCTTGCACCATGACCACAGTGATCTGTTGTGCCTTACATTCACCTTACTTATTGACTTACCTCTGTAGACTTAACATCTTCTTTACCTGCTTCATCATGCATCTTGTATTGTCCTTAATAATGGCTACTAGAGCTTCCCTAACCATCAACAAGTATCTGGAGGAATTTCCAGGTCTCGTACATTTTCTTTACATTGATCGCTTCAATCACCGCATCACTGCTCCCAGCCTTGACTTCAATTCAGAAGAAACAACATCACTCACCAAGAAGAAGGCAAGAGTTATAGAATATTTCAAACCACCCCCTAATCCTCAAATTCTCTACATGTGCATTTTCTGAAATTTGTTATGTAACATCTGCAGAAGCTTCAAGGGCTGTGAAACCTCTCAATCTGCATGGCATTGTTAGCAGAGTATCCACTGTTACAGATCAGCTGGTAACAGTAACCAGTACCTAACAAGTAGAATTCACTTTCTCTGAATTTTTGACAAAGGATCTTTGTTTTCTGAGTCTATTACTCAGAACTGTTAGACTTCCACTGTAATGCAAACACATCACATAACAAATTAATTTTATTTTTCCAAAAGGAATGTGTATTAATATAATACTAGGTTTTCAAAATGATTGCAACTAACATATCAAGTGGAAATAAAAATACTCCTCACTAGATGATGCTTTGATTATTACTTATTTTGTAGCAAAGAAGTTGGCACTATTTTTTAGGGTGTGAGAATGTGGATGATATTCATCTGGTTCAGGATAGTGATGGGATCCCACAGATTGGTGGGCACCCTCATAAATAAAACCTAAATTTGGCAGCAGTTCCTCTACAACAGAGGTAATGGCTGCACTGCTTTCATTCTATATCCCAATCATCATTTTGGAAAACAGAACATGAAAATGAGAAAAGTCATCACTTCCAAACTTTAGAAGTTATATAAAAACTAAAGGTATATTTAAATAAGCACTTTCTTATATTTTCAGATATGGACCATGGTTGAATTCAGCAGAGCCCATTTGCAAGAGGGCCACACAGCTATTATGTGGAAGGATACCACATTTAATTATGCTTACTTTCTGTGGTTTGAAGATTCTTCGGTAAGCTAACATGTTCAGTCATGTGTCTTGTGTAAAGATATTGGTCACAAAAAGAATGCAGTAATATATGCAATAAGGGATTCCCATATTATAAAAAGTAAGTAAAAAAGTAAAGCTATCCCTGTGACAGGCCGTGAAGGCCCATAGGGTTGTGAGACGTTGAGAGCCCCACATTATCTAGACAATCGGCTCAGAGATGGTGGTAAGGTTATCAGCCTTACGTGCTGGCTGCGCTTTACTCCCCAGGAAAATTATTTAATTAATTCCTGGTATTCATTTCTGTTAGAGGCTGAGTCAACCCCAGGGTCATAGTGCAGCTGGAAGGATTAGGTCATTTGAAAAAATCCAATGACCTCATTGGGACTTGAACATGTGACCTTCCGGCTTGAAACTGTGTTAATGTTATTTGCAGATTGAAGAGTTGTTTACGGTTGACAATAATTACTTTAACGATCATTACATGATGGAACAAATGGTCTCTTACCAGCCAGATATTATTTGCATTATTACTGTTCTCACGACCATTGCAGTTTCATATTTTAATCATTGGCTGTATTGAAGCGCGTACCATTTCTGAGAGGGAATGATTATTATGGGATATTTCATAAGTTTATTACTCTTACAGAGAAATTCTAAAGATGATGTATCATTTGCATCAGCATTCTTGGCAGTTAAGTGGAAACATACTACATATTATTATCAGCCTCTGGTACCCATTGGACAGGAGGCTGGGTTAAGTCACAGAGCTGGTCTGGATGCTGTGGAGTAGAGAAAAATCTCTTGCCTCTGCTGGGAATCGATCTCCAGCTGTGTAGCCTGTGGACCAGTGCTATATGAACTGAGCTATTCTGGCTCCTCAGTATTTAATTATGTAAGCTACTGTAGGAAATCCATTAATTGAAGGAAAAATTTGATACATACGGAGAACAAAAGAGAAGTAAATGATGAACTTGTAGAACACTGTATTTTATTCTAAGATTCCACAGTTTGGTTCAGTAATTTTACCAGCTTACATCCTAAGGGATAAAACAGCCTAAAGGTGTAATTAATGAAGTTGAATCATTTTAACCCTATTACATGCACTAAGTAACTACACCATTATTGCAGTATTATGTGATAAGTACGTGTATGTCTAAAATATGCAGGTGTTTTCTGTAAGTGTTCATAATTTTTTAGGCATCGCCAATGAAACCCAAAGTATTTCCAACTGCAACATTGAAGAATTTTCCAAGGCCAGGGATCCTCTGTGGAGACTTTTATCAGTAAGTATTCAAATCTAATTTGTCCTATCAGAAGTTGGATGTGTAAAAATTGGCCCCTACTGCACGAACTGTTATACAAAAGAAACTGCAGGGGGGAGGGGGTTAAATTAGGAAAATCTTGTAACTTTGTGAGCATGTGTAGATGTACACATAAGAAAAAGGATGAATATTAAAATTAGTATCTGAATAGTGTTAAACCTTGTGTTCTTACATCAAGAGATTTTTCAAAACACTGTTTTTGCACATACTATTTCATAAAAAGCTGGTCACGGTAGCCAAGTGTTCTAAGGCATGTATTGTCTTCACTTGCTCGGAAGCCGGGATTGTGGGTTCAAATCCCACAAAAGGCATGGTTGTTTAGTGTTTGTATGTGTTTATTCTGTTTGTGTTGTACTGTGTCTAGGTAGAGTCCTTGCGGTGAGCTGATCACCCGTCCAAGGAGTCCTACTGTCTGTAAAAATGATCATTGAAACTAATAAATCAGCCCCATGCTCCAAAGTGAGAATGAAATGGGGAAAAACATAAAAAAATACCCACAAAATAATGAGCAGTTGTCCTAGAAAATGTCACCATTTTTTACACCCAAATCTTTCAATGAATGTGACTCCTGAACATGATAAAAAACTTTTTTTTTATTTGTTTCATTTTGGTCCATCACACTAACAGTTACAATTATACACAACACAGCAGGCCAAGAAATCATAACGGACAATATTAAGAATCTCCCTACTCAAGTTACATAGGAGGCACAACATCGGCCACCTTGAAGAGAGACGACAGGGGTTATTGACACGAACCGTATGGTTGATGTATTTTAATTTTTAACAAAGTTTTAAAACTTTAAAACAACTTTAAATATTTCTATAGCCAGAAAGGCTGCTGTGAGTGATGGATGGAACATTGTGTACTTGGACATTACATGTGTATTTGATATGACAACTGTTGTGATAGTGGTTTCAAAAAAGTGTTTGGTGCCTCTGAAGATGATCCAAATGGATCAAAACATGTAAGGCTAGTGAATCATCAAGTGAGAAAACTGAAATAGTCACATTGGACGGACTTGTCTTTTATAATTGTAAATGATAAAAACATTTAAAACTCCTGAGCTCAGGACAGAGATTTGGTTCACATACTGAAAATCACAGTGTGCTTTATGTTTACCAGGGAACAATTAAGAAATTATTATGAATATTTTAAAATCATTGTGNCCTGTCGCACTCTATACGATAAATGACACAAACTCCGTCCCAAGTGCAAACAATATATTATATGTCCTTGATCTTGCTCTCCTTTACACTGCACTTAGTTTAAAATTTAACATTTAAAACACATTGTTCCTTTCGTTGTTATTATCAGCATCTACTTCGTTGATATCTGTCTGGTTTATAGATTATTTTTGTTACACTTGTTACACTTCTAAAATCTTTAGTTCTAATTTTAAAATCCTTTAAAATTTAAAATTGTCAGGGTTACTCGCCCTATGTCGATAGTGCTGCAGCGGCTAGTTCTTGTTTCTAGTACTGTACAGGTGTTATTTTGTGTGGTCTCCCTGTGTGCGTGCCACTGCTATTCTTTACTACATGTGTAGTACAACGAAAGGAACAATGTGTTTTAAATGTTAAATTTTAAATTAAGTGCAGTGTAACAGCAACGTGAGCGTATACAACTGATGATGGCCGTTTGAGGCCGAAACATGTAGTGTAAAGGAGAGCAAGATCAAGGACATATAATATAATGTTTGCACTTGGGACGGAGTTCATATCATTTATCGTAATAGGGATGTATCTGGTAGGTTATGAAGGGATTACTTTCTGGATTTCAAAAACATACAAGATGAAAAATTAAATTTCCCAGTCTAAATTAAAACTCAATTTATTGTTGGCAGGAAACTGACAGAAGTCTGCTTCCCCAAGACATCACTTTCTAAAGTCCATTGCTATGAGCTGTATTGTATCCATCTAGGCCTTGCCACCTCAACGTGTGTATTGGAACAGTCCCGAAGATTAGCAGCCACAATCTGGGAAGTAACTGGTATGCCAAGCAATCCCATTGATTTATTATAAACTGTCCAAGATATTCTGATGGGAAGAGTTTGAATGCATGGTCTGTGTTGTCAAATTAGTCTACACATAATGATTGTTGTTCTGCTGATTCAGGTTTTCAGTCAAGGTTACAATGATAAATGTTATAGACAGGTGGTTTGGTTGTTTTTCAATACTACTCATTTCTTCTTCATTCATTTTAACATTATATAGATTTGGTCTGTGTATCTGGTGAAAAATATTATATTATGTTGAAGGCCTGGAAGAAATGTATAGGCTTCTTTTGAAGTCTGCAATTTGCTACAGAGCTGAAATCATGTAATGTAAATAATGATGATGATGAAGTAGGAGTCAATACAATCTTTATGGCTTCTGATGAATGGCTTTATCATTGTACTATCTAATTTAAACAACTGATGTTTAGGCTTGCTGATGAAGTCTTCAAGAGTACATATTCATAATAACACAAAATGAATGAAAACTGCAACATGAAAGTGCGATTATAAAGCTGACATTAACAACTGGGTTTCCTGTTACTGATTTTTGCATCGGAGCTCTCAAGTTAAAATGTTTCAAAGAATTAATATATTGACAGACTTAACACATAACTACAATATTAGACAGACCCAATGGGTCTTGAGATAAAAATATTTTTAAAATTGTGTGATCAGGATCTGAGCATTGCTTCAAGAGATATGTTCTGATTCGCAATTCTGTGTTACCTTTGCGGTAGATTAACCACTATTGTGTTTCAGATCTTAATAGCAGAAAAGAAAATACATACTTCTGATACCTGATATATCTTTTGGAGATACAAATCAAAACAGTGTCGCTGTAATATATGTCCAATTTTATGTTATGCATGATATCACTTATTAAAGTTTCCATTCAATCTTAAATACAGCAATCACTTACCAGCTGTGGATTTTTACTGTGTCTAGTAGTATTTCATTTCACATATATATGTGATGTTTAATTTGTGAATGCACTGAAAAAAATCAGTGGCTCCCATGCCAATAGATTTACATTTGCTGGGTCAGCTGTAATGGCATTCAAAAGCAGGTTTCTAACTTCCAGATTACCACTGCAATCTTTCTTTGTGGACAGATTTTCTTTTTATATTTTGTATCTAATTTATTTTTAACATGTTTTTTGTTTTTAGTGAAGGAAGAGGCAATTTAGGTTTTGAGGAGAATTAGCAGTAGCCACAATATCCAAAGCCTCCAATTTCCTTTATCTTACCAATGAAGGTTTTGTCAACTATGGTGTTTTTTGGGATCATAATCTCCATGGTCTCTGAGGGACTACCGTATTTAAATAAATGTAAACCGTGAATGATGTAATTACTATAGTCCTTTGCAGTTCAGAAGTTTTGTGTCACACAAGGTCATAAGTAGAATCCTATCTACCAATGGACTTCAAGGAGTTGAAATGTAATGTGTTCGGCAAATATCAATGCCACTAACAACTGAAAATTATTTGTAGATGTAATTACAGCGATCTGTGCAGTGTATTGATTATGTAAACTCATACCTTCTTTCTGCTCTTGAATGATAATGGTGTAAAATGAATGGTTTGCACATCTGACTCACTGATACAGCTTGGAAAGCGTGATGTAACCAGTTCATTTGCTTCAGCAATTAACACAGCAGTCACTCAACTGAAACAGTAGTACATGAGATAATGAATGTTGTGTGTGCGCACGTGTGCATGTGTATATACATGTATTTGTAAAAGGAAGAGGTAAAAATACCAGCGACATTATTAAATGTATGTAGTTTTGAGGCATCAGAATGCTCAAGTTGTATCTACAACTTAACTAAAAATGGTTAAATGAGGTGGATAAGCTGGCCAGATGCTGAGGAGTCTTTCCATTCTACAGGTTTCATATTAATTGTGATATTTTAAGAATATGTTTTAGTATCTTTCTAAAGTCGCTGTATATTGTTTATAATAAACCTTTGAAGTGAACCTTAGAAAACACGTAACAGAACTCCACACCGAGATTAGGCTAGAGAAACCACTGTATATATGAATGTAAGCAGCTTGTCCATGACTTTTGCACATAAAGTCAATGCACAATGAAGAGGTAATGTTTCTCCATCCACAAGTCTTACCACCAGAACTACCTTGCAAATTCTAAGGCTTCAAGGACTGCACTGAAACTGGCAGCAAGCCACATACTGGACCTTGTATAGCCTCTTTAGGCTGTATTTATAAAGGCCTTCCACTTTAAAGCTTGTAATAAATAAAAAAATTACACCCAGACATTCTTACCCTGAGTAATGGGGGGAAGGGAGGGGTCAATTTCATGCTTTGGCTGCTTTGCTCCCCAGGAATAACCTCACCCCCAAATACATATGGGATAGGAGGTTGGATGGCCCCCACAGCCAGCCTGGATACTGTAGAGAAGAGAAAAATCTCTTGACCCTGCCTAGAATTGAGCCCCCATTCCTCATTTGTCCAGACCAGAGCCTAGTCACTATACATAGTAATCTACCCATCATTTAATTTTTCCATGTTCTTATTGAACCTTAGAAGTTGAACCAGAAGAAGAAGTAGATACAGACGGGAAAGGACCATATATTTTACAAAGTGAGGTGGAAAAAGCTATCAAGGAAATTAGGAAGGGAAAGGCTACAGGAAATGATGATGTACATGGAGATGTGCTCAAGTTGCTGGGAGAAGGTGGTTTGAAAACACTGACAAAACTAATGAACACCATATATGAAAGTGGAGAGTGGCCCAAGGACTTCACAGAAGTGACAATGATTGCCTTAAAGAAAAAAACAAAAGCTACAAAATGCAGCGACCATCGCACAATAAGCCTTATTGCACATACAGCAAAGATAATAGCAAAGATACTTAAAAGAAGAATTGAAAGGAAAATAGAGGATGTACTTGGAGAAGATC